GTAAAGTACCTCTGTAAGACAATGCTACAGTTTTACTGGTGTTGAAACAAAGTCCATTCGAATCAGACCAGGACTTAATAGTCACTAGATCTTCACTTATGATAGATTGTAATGTCTGCATGTTAGAATTATTCCAGGTTACACTGGTGTCATCAGCAAATAAAGTAATTCTACCACTTATTCTTAAGTCTGTGATGTCGTTGATGAATAATAAAAACAAAATTGGACCTAATACTGATCCTTGAGGTACTCCACTGCTTATTGCTAGATTTGTAGAATCCTCACCATTCGCCCGCACCTGTTGATTTCTATTTTCTAGGTAAGTTTTAAACCATTGTAAAAATAGATACTTAAAAGTCTTAAGTGATTGCAATTAATAAAAAACTCATATTGATGCTTTCAATTCTTTATTTCCTTTTTTTATTAGATTGTATTAAAGGTAATAGTAACTTTTTAAATAAAAATTTAATGTTTGATATTTGATGAAAGAGATCTGACAACATAGGAAGAGCGTACCGTCAAAAAAAGTTGCGGACAAGTGTAATGTATACAAGGCGTATCTATTATCCGATATCTTTGGACAGATTCAATGAAATAGAGAGTCATATAGATTGATCATCCATATTTTCAAAATAGACATAACGCTCCTTTTCAATAACCTTTTAATTTGCACTATAAGTGATTTTGAAAATCTCACCTTAAGTTATCAGTTTAATATCATCCTTTTTATATTGTTACATGCTTGAAATATTTGGTTTGAGCTTGATTATTGAAAATAATTTTTTTTTTTTCTGTAGAAATTTGTCTATGTATGTCTTATATTTTAAGATTTCCGTCACACTACAAAACTACAAAAAAAAATTAAATAACGTTTAAATTATTATTTTTGTAACGTTTTTCTAAAGTAAGTACCATCATCTTTTAAAAATACTGTGCTATTACAATCTAAGTAAATGTAGTGAGAAAAATTTGCAAATTTATTAAAAAAAAAAAATAAAAAAGATGGAATTTTTCTTTTTTTTTTTAGGAAAAAATCTAAAGTAGCTTATAGAAATTGCATAAATCAGTTAAAAAAACTCTAAAATAGTATGTTAATTTGAAAAATTTTAACTCCAAGTGCTTTAGTAGAATTATAATTTCACTAAAACATGAGGTGACGGAAATATGAAAGAGTGACGGAGAAAAGTATAGAAAATTACGCAAGAAAATACACTAATTTTTTAAAAATTCCAATATTAGATGTGGTTTTAGATGTGGTTTTAGATGTCGATGGCAATATTTCTTCAAAATCTTTTAATTTGACTTGAATATTGCTTTGTGAGTGATGTCACGTACCTAACTTAATTTTGAAGGTATTGTTTGTTTATTTTAAACAACAGTTTATTTGTAAATAATTTTTCCTATGACCATTTAGTCAGTCACTATTAGTGCCGCTCTTATTTTGACATCTGAGCATGCGTAGATCTCTAACTTTATTAAAGATTGTGCCTGTCCATAATAAGAGAGTTATTGCAAGTTCACTTAGGGTCAGTCACTATTATTAGTGCCGCTCTTATTTTGACATCTAAGCATGCGCAGATGTTTATGTTCTAAAACTGACTTTATTAAGGATTGTGCCTGTCCTTAATTGTGGATGTTTAAGGGCAGCAGGTAGTGGCGACTTTATAGCTTTCGGATGCGCTCGTCATTTAAACCTTCTAAAATTATAATTTCTAATGCCTCTTTAATATTAGGTACTATTATAGAATTTATTTGACTCTAATTACGATGTCACTATTAGTGGCTGGCTTTATAGAAATTTGCAATATCTCTCTATTAAGGACAGGCACAATATTTATTAAAGTTAGTGATCTGCGCATGCTCAGATGTCAAAATAAGAGCGGCACTAATAGTGACTGACCTTAAGTGAACATGCAATAACTCTCTTTTATATATTGCATGTATATTAAATGACAAAGGTACAAACATAGGAAATAGCAATCGTGACGCGTGACGGAGGTATGAAATTGCATGTTTAAAAAACAAAAAATGTATAAGATATAAACTATTTGGGAATTTTTGTTTTTGTCATAGTCGGCCAGGTACCAAAATATAAATCTTTGCAAACATTTTGCTAAATATCTTGAGAAATGTAGGTGTAATCGTTAAGATCACCCAAATTAAAAAGTTATTGAAAAGAACTTATGCCTCAAAGTAAAAATGTCAGTAAATATCAGGGCTGGTATATCTAAGGGGGTCGCGACATAGACCCAGTAAATGGATGAGGGGGTGACTGAGGCTAGGGGGGAAATAGTAGTCAGCTTAAGTTGGCAACACTTTTCTGATGTTCGTTTGAACGAGCATCGTGCATAATAATGTCAATATGGCACAAGTGGAATGAACCACTGTTTTCCTCGTAGTCGTAGTCCAATGTCGAATTAAAACTAAAAACATTTTGTACTTTTTTTTATATACCAAATTTGCAATTTGTTTCCACTTTATTTTAATGTTACATGAATAGGTACATGCGTTTGTGCTGTGGTAAATAAGTGTTCATGTGAAAATTATATCTTAAACTACATTGTGACTGCACTTATCTCGAAACTGAATGCTGTAAATCCAGGATTTAAATCTTTCATAGTGTTGCTTGGGATAATTTGTTAAAAAAGGTGTTGGACATACCATTATTAAAGAGAAATTAGTTATCATCAATAAGATATTTTGTAGTAGCTGGTCTCTATAAATAATAAACTTGAAAGACTGAATTAGTAGTCACTTTTACACTAGAAGTAAAAACAAACAAAAATGTGTGGTTGAGACTAATTTGTGTATTTAATAAAAACATATTTAACATAAAATTTTTTATTTTAGTTTAATAATCTTTATAAATTGTGGGTACATTTGATCCGAATCTTGCAAATACTATAAAATGCATATGCTTCTATATGATTAGTATTGGAGTAGAAGCACAAAAGTTTTGAATAAAAATATATTCTTTAAATACAATATTCTTTAGATATGCTAATTTCCTATTCGAAACCATACATGTTTTCTATTATAGTTTTCATACGTTTATAATTCTGGAGATACCGGAATATTTTGCTTGATTACTAAACTTTGGATGTTTTTGTTGTAGTCTGCTGTTAACACTATTGTCCTGAAATATTAAAAAAGCTAGACAAGGGTTTGTCCAACTCTTTTGTCAGCTTTGTTAATCTATGCTACTGTTATTCTGCATGCAGACATTTTTTACTGGAGATTTTCTCTAAGAACTGTATTCAGTTTCAAATGTCGGCCAGTTTTAGGAAAATACCTCTGTTGTAAAGGTATTTCAAAGCCATCCTTTGTGAGATGTAGACAACAAATACATGCTAAAATGTATAGAAAACAAATCGCAAGATATTACACAAAATTATTTAAATTAACTAAAAACATACAAATGAAGTGAATAATACCTACCAACAATTTAAAAAGACCTAAAATAAATAGACTTACGGGACTGGAGCTCTAAAAAAGGGAGCAATAATTTGTTATGCATCATCTATAAGAAAATTGTCTTCATCTCTTCAATTACCTTTTAAAATAAACAAAACCAAAACAGCACAAAATTGAAAGTGATCTACTTTTCCCGACGTATTCTATGTACATCTGAGATTAATAATTAATTAAATTGAAATATGTTATCCTAAAAAATATGGGCATTTCCATTTAAAAAATGACATTGATTTTTTTCTTATATTGGTAAACCTGGCGACTACAAGTTGCCACGTTGCCAGATCAATGGCGACTACTATTGCTGCGTTTGAGAATCCACATCGGATGCATTTTTTACATCTCGAGCGTTTTTTTATCCACATCGGACACATCTGTCCCATTACATTTACGTATACTGAATCACGTGATCAAAGATTTACTACATCTCAGATGCATCCGATGTGGATTCTCAAACGCGGCATATGTGACTACTATTTCGAAAAAAATGGCGTCCAAAATGGACTCCTATGTCGCGACCCCCTTAGATATACCAGCCCTGGTAAATATTTCTTTTTACTATATTCAAAGGCTGAAAATTGGTTTGTAAACACATTTCTGCGAATATGATTCTGATTAGTGAGCACTTGCGAGGCAATATGGCCACTCGCAAACGACCCCTTCGAACAATCTATATAACTATGTATGTATCATTGATCCTGTCAATCACAACCATAGACATCAAATTATAAAATATCTTTGATCACAACAGGCCATGCAACAGGCCCACATATCTAAACTGTCAGTTCCCACTTGTCAGAATTTTGACAGGTGGTTGGAATGACTAATTGTAATAGAATGTATTGAATCAAAGTCTATTTTACTTTATTTTCAGAAATATTAAAAAAATATATTTTTTTTTAATTTTGTTAATTAGATATACTTTATTGCCTTCACGCTATTTTCTAGGCGTGGTCATTTTGATAGTTTACCGTTATTATTATTGAAGCAACCAGGACCGTACCAAGGTACACTTTTTTGGAGGAAATAATATAAAAACACAACTGAATTGTTTTTTATATATATTAAGTATAAAAAGTTGGTAGGGTAGGTATATTTTGTCAATCGCGTTTGGATTTTAAACAAACTGCCTGCGCTTTGGGATGGGGATTTTCCGTAATAGCAAAAGTTATCAATTTTTGTGTTGACATTAATAAGTAGAAAAATATTAATATAAAATAGTGATCTGCAAAAAATGTTTTTAAAGTAGGCAATGAGCGGCAAAGACAGATACGAGTCATGTCTGTGGTAACTACGCACAGTTCTGAATTAAATCTGTACTGACACTTAAAAAGAAGACGATTTGTACGCTTCGATATACGTTAATTTTTCTAAGGCTAACTTTAAAATCATTTTTTGGTGGATCACTTCATATAACTTTTCATTGCAATTTATTTAACAAAATAAACTTACAATAAAATTCTTTATAAATAACATTCTGAAAGTAAAAATACTTAATAAAAATTGTTATTTTACAACATTTGTTAATACCTATTTATATTTTTTTAAATGTTAACAAGTAAAATTTAAACAAAAATTCATTTCAAAAATTAAGTACGATCCGAAAAATAATATGTAAAAATTTAATGTAATATTCTAATGAATAACTGATGGTCTTACACTACATTTGCCAATATTTTCAATTTTAACTTTCTTTTGTAATCTTGGTGATAATTCGTTCCATATTTCTTCTCTTAAATTCTCTGGAAAGAAAAAAAAATGTTAATTTAGCTCAAAAAGTCAAAAAAAAGTATCATTCTTTCTAATTTTAGTTATCTACCAGTTAACGTATTGTCGTCACAATAAAATAAAAAAAGGTTTGTGTTGAAACTACTTGTTTCAAAACCGTCTGAAACATATCACAAGACGGTCCTGGGCCCGCGAATCATTGTGAGCATCTGTAAATAAACATCTACGTGACAATGCGCTAGTTCAGTGATGATGAAATTATGGTTCCACTGACAATTAAAGTGACAGTAGATTTTTTGAGTGCGTTTTGTTCGTTTTGCTTACCTAAATTATTTCGTTTTTTTCACTTTTATAAATATATTCATAAAGTAAGTAAATAACATGCATCAAATATACAATCGTTTAGTTACCAATTACATACTTTGAAACTATTTTTTATGACCTGTAAACAATATTTAGAAATAAACTAAAAACAGTGAAAACGTATATGTCAAATTTAATGATGTTTTTGTTAAAAGTTTGGTTAGAATTAAATGTCAGTGGAACCAAAATGACATCACACTAAACTAGCGCATAACCGCGTTCGCCAAGTTGCATCAGCACGAAACCTCTCAAGTCAACTAGTTTCTGACACGTAGACATGTATCTCCTTTTTTGAACGGCACAATACATCAGATCAGTTTGAACTTTGCTAGAAGTCAAACGAGTTTCATTAGAAACACGATGACAATTTTTTTTGTGATATATTTATTAAAATAGTTACATTATCATGTTTTCTCTTTGCTTTAGCACTTATATATTTATGATATATATTGAAGAAACAAAAATTGTCATTATTTTGTACATTGAATGTCAGCAACTTTTTAAAACAAAGAAATTTATTTAAATTTGTATTCATTGAGTATTCGTCTTTTTGGTGTAACTTCAACAGGTTATGGGCCCAGGTACGCCATTTTGTTGAAAGTAATCTAAAATTTTCGATAAAACGTTACTCACAGAAGTCGTTGAAAATGGAACTTACAAAAATACAAATTGTTCTTTTTAACCGACTTCAAAAAAGGAGGAGGTTATCAATTCGTCGCGATATTTTTTTTTTATGTGTGTTCAGCGATTATTCTTTAACACGGTGTCCGATTTTAATAATTCTTTTTTTGTTAGAAAGGGGGTACTTCAGGGGTGGTCCCATATAAATTTAGTCAAAATCCAGTAATTGGGTCCATGAGAAAATCCTCAAACTCTTCATTTTTTATGTATGTTTCGCGATAATGCTTTAACGCGATGTCCGATTTCAATGATTCTTTTTTTGTTAGAAGGGGGGTACTTCAGGGGTGGTCCCATATAGATTTGGTCAAAATCTAATAATTGGGTCCATGACAAAATCCTCAAACTCTTCATTTTTTATGTATGTTTCGCGATAATGCTTTAACGCGATGGCCGATTTCAATGATTCTTTTTTTGTTAGAAGGGGGGTACTTCAGGGGTGGTCTCATATAAATTTGGTCAAAATATAATAATTGAGTCCATGAGAAAATCCTCAAACTCTTCATTTTTTTTGTATGTTTAGCGATAATGCTTTACCACCTTGTCCGATTTATATGATTCTTTTTTTGTTAGTAAGGGGGTACCTCAGGGGTGGTCCTATATCAATTTGGTTAAGATGTGGTGATGGCATCTGCACGTTTATGAAGTCGGTTTTTTTTAATTTCTAATACTTGTCACTTGTAGAAGGTAAATCGAATTGGTCCACATGGAAATTTAAGGGCTGCACACTTCTTAAAGGTATTATTGGAGATCAAGAAATTGTAGAAGGAACTATTACAGAACTGGCGCCTTTAGGAGATAAAGCAACAGAGTCTGAAGTTTCTAAGTACAATGAAGAGTTTACTGAATACAGAAGAATAGATGATCATACTAACTACCAATATGACTGAAGATACATTAAAAAAAAAATGCTATTTTTCACAGCAAGACAGATTTGGTAAGAACTGCATAGATTGAATGACGGTGCAACTGAAGAAAAAGTATATGATTTATGCTTACAATTCTTTAGTTATTAAAATGAAGCCAGTGATGATGTAGCAACCTCGGTAGCAACACACATGTCTAAACTTAAAAACCTTACTAGAAATTCAAAAGGAAGATGCAATTGAACTACCAGAGATACTTATCTGTAAAATTTTGGAAACATTGCTGGAAAATTACTTTCCTTTTCGATCCAGTTGGATGTTAATGACCTAATGACCAAAAATAATAGAACAGTAGATAACCTAATCAAGCAATTGTGTGCCTACGAAAGAGCTTTAAAAGAACAAGACAAGCATACACCTGGAAGTCAAGAAATTCTGCTAGCAAATACATCATATTTTAGGAAAAATAAGTTTAAAAATTGGCTATGCAAATATTGTCAAGAGCGAGATCATAGAGTAAAAAATTGCCTTATGTGTGACATGCTGATGGCAGACCTCCTAAGTTAAATACAGACAAATCAAAAGCCAATATGATTTCAATCTCCACAAGTGAATGATTCAATGCTGAGTCTGATAACATTAGCTGGTATGTAGATAATGGAGCAACAAACCATATTACATACTGTTCAGAGCTATATGATACCTTTGAAGACTTCAAACCTTTGGTCAAGGGACAGTAGTTCTTGAAACATTAGTCAATAACAATAAAGACAAGTTAACCTTTAGTGATGTGTGGTAAGACCAACATTTAAATAGCCATTTTATGCCAACGTCGGTAAGATGCAGTTTGAAAGTAGGGAATAAAACCGTTCTAGAAGGATATAGAAGTCTAGATTCTGGACTATACAAACTAAACGTTAACGGTCAGTCAGTCAGTCGCAATTGCAACTGTTTTATGAACGACTAGGCCCTCAGAATAAAAGGCATGGAGCGAAATTTTGGATTAAAAGTACATCTAGATAGTGAAATATATGAGGGTTGTGTCTATGGAAAAGCACACAAAAAGAAATTTGGAACAAGGGAGCATGCGACAAAACCTGGATGTATGCGGCCCTTTTCTTTCCTCTATGTCAGGCTAACGATACTAGGTATTGTTCAAAGATGACTTTTCCTCAAAAGTTGCTTCTAAACTGAAAGAGATGTTACATCAAATAATAGCCTTAGGACACACAGTTCAAGAACTATTGTGCGACAACGGAGGAGAGTTTGATAATCAAAAAGTCCAAGACATCCTTTCTAAATTAGGAGTTGAACAACGATTTACTATGCCTTATAATCCGGAACAAAATGGTTCTGCAGAGAGAGAAAATGGAACGGCCTTTTTTGTTTAACCATTTCTTGTTCCCCGCTCTTTATTTTTTGAGGATTAATAATTAGATCAAAGTAAAGCTTGTATTTTGACCTTTCCATTGATATAAGTCAATTCCCATATCCGTTCTTGGTTCTAAAAAGGTTGTTACAATTATATACTTCATTTTTACGCTCCCCCTCTAAGATTCATGATATTGTATATAACCTAACCTCGTGTACCCACGCGGCGATAGTTGTCTGCATGTGATTGTATACAATCTCTGTTTTGGATTCGTCGGCTTGACCGGATTATTGATGTACTGATGATATTTTTTCATTATTTATTTTGAATTATTTATTTAAAAAAAAATAAAAATTTTTCATTAAATTAATTCAGTTATAAAAAAAAAGAAGAAGTGTTTAAAGTGAGAAATTTCCACGTTATTCTTGTCTACAAGAAAGAATATTCAAGGATTTTTTTGTTGGAAGCAGAAAATAAGGTTTGTTTTATTTTGCCTCAACTTTAAAAACTTGGTGTAATTGTTCTAACGGTTAGATTATCTATTTTTGAGCAAGAAGAGATGCGATAATTTCCACCTATTTCTCCAGAAACAATCCTTTTTACGAATGCACAACAAGTGTAGAGACCGCTATATTATTAAATCTCGAGGCAAGTTTGCGTACAACGAGTTTGACAAGCACTCTTCAAGACGGTTGGACCATTTAACGAGCCCGAAGAGACAAAAGAAGCGCTCCCATAGTGGCTTTGACTTCAAAAACAATTGTTTGTTCTGTCAGTTACCTGCTTCGATAGAAAAGGAGAAAATAAAGAGCAGTTTGGTAAAGAAGCGTACCATAGTACTTGTTTCGAACACAGAATTCAATACCGCACTTCTGAATCAGATCACAGCTCATATTGATATAGAAAATTATAAAGCGATGCTAGAAATAATTTCTGGGATCGACCTCAAAGTTGTTGGTGCAAGATATCATGAAGTCTGTCGACTGGCATTCTATCAATTGTCTGAAAAAGCTTCTGGTAAGGCTAAACCGAAGGGACGGCCCAAGGACTCAGATATTTCAGCACAGATTGAGAGGATTGTTGCTTATATTATGGAAACTGGGGAAGAAATGTACACCATGGCAGAGCTGACCAAAATTGGAGGTATTTATCATTATTAGTAAAGTGAAGTGACAATGGTTCATATGGATTACCTAATGATAATAAAATAAATAACTAAACTGTTGTTCAGTTTTTGGTACTTTAATAATAAATGTAATTATTCCGAAAAAAGTTTGCAAAAAAATCGCAAAAATGCGAAAAATGTTTAGAATGGTTGTATGGTAAATATTCACCACGCTCTAAAAGTTGTCATTTGCTTTTAGCCAAAACAACGGGATCCAAGACCTTGGCACAAGGAAAGATAAATTTTTGCAATTTTCTGGTAATTGCACAGAACATTCGCTAATACAATTGAGAGAGCCCAAGCGCTACTTTGCAGAAAAAAATCAGGTGAACTACGCCAGTAATTGTCGAATAATCGATTATTTCCGAAATTTTCATTTAGCGAGAAGAGCAAAGGTGCTGGCGCCATCTGCAATTGGCCTCTAAAGTCCAAAAGATGAAGATCAATGCATTTCCAACCCCATCGAGCGGAAATTCGGCAAGAAACTACAATATCTATTCTATATGAAAATTATGGATTTTGATTTTGCAAAAAATATTGGCATTGCGAAAAAATTGGTAGAGATCATTTTTGTAGAGAATGAGCCGATCTTCATTTTTTGTCTGAACAAAAATTCTCTAATTGGCATATTTAGCCAGCTACGTGGGAACTCATCAGCGATTTTTTTACAGCTTTCGATCTTTTCAGTCCTTCAGTTACTGGACTATAGATCGCTTTACCTACATTGTACTTACCATTGCATCTATATGCCAAATCAGACCAAATAATCATTTCTTGTGAGAAACACAAAACTCCCAACCGTCCTCCTTTATGCGTGGTATCGAATAGATTTCCAGAATCGGCCACCATTTGATCTCCGTCGAAGATCTTTAACCTGATAAGTCCAATATTAGGTCTATGAATTAAGAACCAACGATATGAAGTTTTTTCCTTCCAACCGACATTCCTCGGATCCTTCCAGAGTAGTCTTACTTGATTTGGAGTATCGCCAGTGTGCCACAAAGAATTTCTAAGTATTTCTCCCGGACCAGTTTCTGAATCGATCACCTTAATTTGAATACCTGGCTCTGCAAAGGCTTGGAATGGTTCGGCTTCCCAATATAATTGAGGGTGCTTTTTCCACATGACTGCGTAGAATTTTCTATTGCTCTGATAACTGAAACATAGGGTATGTAAAAGTTAAATATTTTCCAAATTAGTTTCGTTTATAGATATACTGCATGTTATTGAAATGTTACCTATTAAAATTGACAAAAAGCAAACTAAAACCTGTGAAAACGTGTATAAAGTATTCCTAAACATCACGTCAAAACTGAAGGAGGTAATTCATTGGCACAATTTATGACAAAAAGTTGAAAAACGTTAAAAACGTTAAAAAAAAACGTTGAAAACGTTAAAAATCGTTAAAAAAAACTTTAAAAATCGTTAAAAAACGTTGAAAATCGGTGAAAAACTTAAAAAAGTTAAAAGACGTTGAATTACGTTGAAAACCGTCGATAAACGGTTGGTAAAAAGTGGAGTCGTGGGGGGCTCCCAAGTGACCCATTACATACTGAAAATGGGATTCCACGGCCTACACAAAATCTTAAAATGAACAAAATGTCAAGTGGGCGAAAACGTCGAAAAATGTCGAAAAACGTTGAAAAACGTTAAAAAACCGTTAAAAAAACTTTAAAAACCGTTGAAAAACGTTAAAAAACGTTAAAAATCGTTAAAAAAAACTTTAAAAACCGTTAAAAAAAACGTTGAAAATCGTTGAAAAACTTGAAAAACGTTGAAAACGTTAAAAATCGTTAAAAAAACTTTAAACCCCGTTAAAAAACGTTAAAGACCGTTGAAAAACTTGAAAAATGTTGAAAAACGTTGAAAAACGTCGAAAAACGTTGAAAATCAGTTGGTAAAAAGTGGAGTCGTGGGGGGACTCCCAAGTGACCCATTACATACTGAAAATGGGATTCCACGGCTTACACAAAATCTTAAAATGAACAAAATGTCAAGTGGGCCATGCAAACAAATTATAGTATTTCAAACAAATGTACCAAATTTCATAAAAATCAGCAAAAGAGTATTTATGATATTGATGAAAAACTGATTATTTTGGACACCCTATATCTTCGAAACAAAGCAATTTAAGACACATGTTTATATCAATTTTAAGTCATAATATAAGCCAAAAAATTACCTCCTTTACTTATGACACGATATTTAGGAACACCTTGTATATCAAATTCAATGATGTTTTTGTTAAACGTTTGGTTATAGGATGAGTGTCAGTGGAACCAAAGTTTGCGTCACACTAATATGGTGTATTGGTATACTTTAAAGTATTGGGTACGGACTCGATAATCATGACACTTGATAATCATGGCATTTAAATCCATTTAATTTTCCAATTTTTCTTAAAACTTGGTGGCGCTCAACTTAGGTTTAAATTTGAAGTAGGTTTTGTCCCTAGAACAGATCAAACTATTTCTGGGTTTTCTTGCTTTGATAAATTTCGAGAACCCACATTTTACCATCAATTTTTGAGCTAAATCACAGTAACTTAAAAATCTTTACATCATAAACTGTAACATTTTAAAATTCCATTTAAAAATGTTACTTAATTATCGCCGCACGCAATATTTCTAAGAAAGGGAAATTTCGTGAAGTGGGAGTGTCTGGCTGTAAACACCGGTGAGTTAGAACATGTCATTAAAAAAATATCTCAGTAGAAATTATATTTCTGCTTGTTGTTAGTTATAAGTTTATTTTTTGAAAGTCAAATTAAATTTATTTAATATCGTTTCGTAATTTCTTTGTGTTGCTGGAATAACACATTGTTTGTATTAATTAATTTTTATTGTTGGAAATTTTAAAAAGTAGTCATATTTAGACGTGCAAAGGACGTCTAAATATGACGTCATTTGGGCTGCGACATATTCACTAGAGGTAGCCAAATATCGATAGTTATAACTATCGATGGTGGCGATAGTTTTTTGAAGAACTATCGATAGTACTATCGATAATATAATTAACCTATAAATATGACAAACAAGAAGAAAATATTCAAATTTATAAAGTTTAATATTAAAAAATGGGAACTTTCACTTTTCCAGGTTATATAAAAAATAAATAAAAACAACTAAAAATTGCACTTTTTAATCCAATGTTTTTCAACTTTAATATAAAGGGTGTTAAATAGGATATTGAATGATATTCAAACTATTATTAGCTCGAATTTGTTGGACTTTTATGTTAATTCTTTGCTGCAGCTCCTCGAGACAATTTCAAAAAACATCAGTCAACAATGATAAGAAATAAAAAAGGAAGTAAAAGAAGAATAATCTTCCACATCTTCAAAACCGTTACTTTGCGGACTCATCTTTATTAAGAATTTTTGTCCACACTGTTACCTCTGTAAATATTTTAGTCTTTTTTAACACCCCCTTTATATAACCCGTTTTTCTACATTAAAATATTACCATTTTATATTTTTAATAAATTTCCAAGCACAGAAAAACAAAGACATCGAAATTTTTTTTTTTTTTTTTTTTTTTTTTTTTTTCTTTATTGGTCTCAACTTATACAAGTTATTTAACCAGCACTAACATTAGTTACATGAAAATAAATACAATAAAATTTAAAATACTATTTGGCTCTGTAAAATTAAAAAAAAAAATAAGGTGAACAATATTTTTTATAAATTAATGTTAGAAGATTTTAAAAATGACATGATTATGGCTGTACTGCATCGAAATTAGTCATCAAAATATAAATTTTATAGGTTATATTTTTCTTCTTTTTCCATCATATCTCGAACTTCGATAGTGTGACGATAGTTAAAGTTACTATCGATAGTGCTATCGATATTTGGCCACCTCTAATATTCACGTCATTTTATCGTCATTATCACGTTGGTTTTCAGAAGATAAATGACGTCAGGTATGATGAAAATAAGATGTTATACTGACGTCAGTCTGCTGCCTGGGTTATTCCATTCCTTCTTAAACTTCCAAGACTTTCCATGTTTGACATTGGAAATAGATATCGCAGTTTTCTGTAAGGCAGAACTATGTCAAATTGGCGGAAGAAATTAAATTTGGTGTTTGGGCTCGAGGAGTTGAATTACAGTAAGACTATCATATAGAAGTTGCCGCCCTAACGAATATATTGGTAACTAGACATGTGGCTAATTATTGGTGCCCTTTCTTCCTGAAAACTAGTTTCCCAAAAATGTCTATTAGAAAAGCCGAATTCACGACTGAAAAAACCATATGGTCAATGTGCTCATTTCTTTGTTTGATTGGATTAAAGGCAAGTAATATTTGGTGTTAAATATCTAAGAGTTAGTCAACATTTCTTGTAAGTGTTTTCAAAATTAACATTTTATTGCAAAGTAATGCTAACTTATTACAAAACATCAACTAAATGCAGTAAAAGGGTACCATCTGCTTATTGTGAAATTGGTTAAAGTTTCCACTGAATAATTTCTAACTAGAATATCGGGATATAATGTGGAGATACGTATTTCAATAACACCCTGTACACTGATAACGATCGCATTAAAAATATACTATCGGAAATATATAGTAATTAAAAAGTATCTATCCACTTTGTACCTACCTGAAAATAAATCCAACATAATCATCATCAACTTCGGAATCAACGAAGAAAGTTCCTTCGAAATCCACACCAGTAAATTTATCGTGACCTACTGCCAATCCGGGATCACTATTAATCGTTTGTACAATTTCTGCTCCGTGATTATAGATTTCCCATATTGGGTCAGTTTGCGTTTCGCCTTCTGGATCCAAAACAACGGTTTGATATTTACTGAAGTCTGTTTGATAAATTAAAGAGTTTGTGGGACAGACGTCTTTTTCGTTTACAACGGTATCGTTGTCGGTGTCGTTGTCGCACTTGTCGCCATAACAGTTACCTAAAAAACATTTGGTTAAATTAAATGTTTCCTTTTTGTTAAAAGCTTCATTTTACTGCTGTGTCTGTGACCGTGGAGAAAGTACAATCTGTTACTTTGTTGGAATGAAAATCCGATACTCGCGGTTCTACACACTCGTATCTAATTTTTATTTACAATCTTGTTACAGAATATACTATTCAATGCGTTGTACGAGAAATATCCAGGTGTGACGATTACTCGCCAATATAAGAATTTGTGATTAGGAGTAAGTGCTTTTTATATTGAAAGGTCAAAGAAGACTAGAGGAGCTTAAAGGAGACCAAGTAAGTTTAAAGGAAACCAGGTCGGAAGCTTAAAGGAGACCAAGGGAGCTTAAAGGAGACCGAGGGTGTTGTAAAAGGAATTAAAGGAGACCAGACGGGTAGATTAAAGTAGTAGTGTAAAGTAGAGTAGACGAATCTCACCAGGATACCAAATGTTCTACTTAGCCAGGACTCTCATTAGTCTAAAGGAAGTGTCGGTCTTCATCGCAATTGGAGTACTCCAGTCTCAACCGGCTACTGTAACAACCAACCAGCTTAAAGACCAATTATTGTAACTACTGATAGGTCTTTAGCTACTGTTAATATACTATTAGGATAAAATGAAACAATCATTAAGAAACGAAATAAATAAATCAAAAAGGGAACTATGGAGAAAGCTATGCGAGGACCTGGAAGAAGACATATGGGGAAACAGTTATAAGATAGCAATGAAACGCATAGGTAGATTTGTGGCTCCCTACAATCCTAGCAAAGAACAAAAAATCGAATGGTGCAGACAACTTTTCCCAAACAGTGACAAAAAAGTACCCGATGGACCGGAATCCCTGAAAATGAAGTAACGATTTTTACGACAGAAGAACTACAAACGGCAGCAAAAGCAATCAAATCGAGCAGAGCCCAGGTATAGACAAAATTCCACCTGGGGCGGTTAAGATACTGGTAGAAAAAACTCCACAGATTGTACTAGAAGTGTTAAATAGACTACTACGCGACCAAAGTTTTCCAAAAATCTGGAAAGAAGCCTTGGTAGTGTTAATACCAAAAGGAAAGGATAAGCCACTGCTTCAAGCATCGTCATATAGGACAATATGTCTGCTTAGCTCACTAGGGAAATTATACGAAACGACGCTAAAAAACAGATTAGAAAAAGATATCGAAAATAAGGTAGGATTTTCAGCAAATCAATTTGGATTCAGGAAAGGAAAATCAACAATACAAGCGATAGAAAAGGTAGTAAAAAGCGCAATGGAATCGAATAAGAAATGGGTAATAGTTGTGACCGTAGATATCAAAAATGCTTTTAATATAGCATCCTGGGAAAAAATTATGGATAAGCTGGAAGAAAAAGGAATCGCAAGATACCTGTTAAATGTAATAGACAGTTACCTAAGTCACAGATACATAAGGGTTGAAAACGAGTACATCGAACTAAACACAGGAGTACCACAGGGATCTATATTAGGACCCACGTTGTGGAATGTATTATATGATGACATTCTAAGGATACAGCTAATGGAAGGGGTAACAACAGTGGCTTTTGCTGATGATCTTGCGGTTATTACGGAAGCTGCAGACAGGAAAGAGTTATAAAACTAACGAATCACTATATAGGATAGAGAGATGGATAGAAGCAAATAAGCTACAACTAGCTCCACAAAAATCTGAGGTAATAATCTTAAAAGGCCCAAGCAAAAGAGAAGAGATTAAGGTAAGAATCTCTGGAACAGAAATTGATCATACCAGACAGGTGAAGTATCTAGGAGTCACTCTAGACGACAGGATGGGATTCGGAAAGCTTATAAAAGATATCGTAGAAAAAGCTGAATCTAAGCTAACGGCCCTCTCTAAACTAATGCCAAATGTTGGCAGCCCATGAAGTAAGAAACGAATAGCATTGGGGACTGACGTAACCTCAACCAAGGAGATTCCGCTCCACAAGGTTGAAGGAAAGAGGCATTTTAGAGGGTACACTATGTTTGCACCTACCACATAGGATCCCCTCATACCATGCTGCCGTTGATCAACTCGGGCACATGACGGTCCATAAAAGATTTCACCTCAGAAAAAAATATATATACTATTAGGGGATTAAGGCAGCACTGTCACCAGCCAAAAGGTCCTGGAGTCTAGAAGAAACATCCATTCACTAGTGGCAAATAAAATAATAAAATTAAATTAAAAGGAGAAAAATCATTTCTTAATAGCATAGTCGAGTTGGCAACTAGTTTTAGACTCTTCTAGTCCTAAGGGAATAGAAACGCCGAGGCTTTTCAATAAGTATTAAAACAGTAACAAAATGTATATTTACAATAAGTAAAAAATTACTAATAGTCTCAAGAACAAATGAATAAAATTATATTTGAGAAATAAAGTACTATTTGATAATGTATCCAAACTTTAAATAAAGATTTATGACAACAAGATAAACGTCTTATTGAATTGTATAGTTTGGACTTATTAACAAAATAGCACTGGAAATTTTAGCTATATAGTAATCTTAAATATGTATAAGATAAATGTAATACTCTGGACGAAAATGTAAAAATTGGCATTTATATGTAAATTGTAGTAGGGTTGGCTACAAGAAAATTTGGAATTCTTTGTAAAGAAAGATTTTAATTTTAATAAAATGTGAACAGAAAAATCATAAGATATCTTAATCAAAAGTGTCACACCACACAACCTAAAAACGTCAATTGTCACGTTTTCGCGCCAAGAACCGCGCCTCTTCTTCTCCCTTTTGGCTTCGTCCGTAGAGGCACTCGGTGACTCTTCGGGTATCCAGTCACCTTACGGGCGGGAACCAGAGTTAGGATGTTACAAAATCAATTAAATATCTCAAACAAAACACTTTAAAAATAAGTTAAAGACATTACCCATAGTTCACAAATCGCTGCACAAAAACTTTATTTTACACATTACTTAGGGTCCTGAAAACGAGAACTCTCGCCATCGGCCGTTATTTACGAAATATTAAAGAGTTTAGAGCCGCTAAAAAAAGATATACTATCTCGATGAAACGTGGGTGAATGCTGGACACACGGTATCTAAGATATGGCAAGATACTTCTGTAACTAGTCATCGCCAAGCCTTTATAGAGCGATTATATACAGGTTTGAAAGCACCATCAGGTAAAGGACAGCGCCCAATTGTTACCCATATCGGAAGTGACAGTGGATTTTTGGAAAATAGCGCTCTTGTGTTTATATAAAAAAAAACAGGAGACTACCACGAAGACATGAATGCGGAATGCTTTGAAAAATGGTTTACTGAAGTATTACAGCGTATAGAACGAAATTCAGTTATTGTACTAGATAACGCTTCTTATCACAGTCGACGAGTTGAACGCATTCCGATAATGTCCAGTAGGATATGCAAACCTGGCTGCGGGATAAAACAATAACATTTACCGAGAAGATGCTTAAAGTGGAATTAATGGACCTAATAAAGGAACATCGCCATAAATATATTCAATATGTTGTCGACACAATGGCTCGTGATCGTGGTATTACGGTACTAAGACTTTCTCCCTTATAACTGCGGATTCAATCCTATTGAACTAATTTGGGCGGAAGTGAAAGGGTTTGTTAGCTCGAGAAAATAAAACTTTTAAAATAGCCGACGTTTCAAAGTTTATTAAAAACCGTTTAGAACGTATAAAACCTGAAAATGGCAGAATGCTATTTCCTATGTAATTAAGGTAGAAATATATATGTGGCGCTTGGACGGTATGATCGAAACGGTAGTTGAACCTTTAGTCATAACTTTAAGTTCCGACGAAAAAGGCGATTCCAGTGATAGTTCTGCAGAATCAATGGATTATGAAACTTCATAGATTTAGAATTCAAGTAAGTGATACCAAGCTTAATTTACATATTTTTATAATAAACAAAATACAATTATAAACATAGATGAATTATTATATCAAAAATAGATAACCAACCTACTTTCATCTAGTAATATTCACAAATACCCATTTAAGTTGCCAATATAGTATTTCTGCGACACTGGAAGAGTGTATTTTGATATGATAACGATACCTTTTGCAGTTTTATTTTGTTCTAGTACAATACCCCATTTAGTTTTCCAATAGTGTTTTCTACGCCCACTGGCATAATATTTACATATTTTAAAAATAAACAAAACAAAATTATAAACATAAATGATTATTACTACAAAAAAAGATACACCAACCTACTTTCATCTATATTATTTACTATTACCCGCATTTAATTTGCCAATAGTTTTTATACGCCACTGGCGTAATACATTTTGGCAATAAACATGCATTTATGACTAGTTGGCACGTGATACCGATAACTTCTGCAGTTTTAAGCGCGTGATTCCATTCATTATGCTCTGGTATAGTATGATTGTTGTACGTGAACAGGGAGGAATCACCTTCTTCAATATTTTGTCTCAGTATAGTATTCATTCATTCTCATACACTTTTTAGATTTGATATTATATCTGATAAAAAAAACATTATAATTACCATTAGAATCAAGTTGGTCGGGATTGTACACATACACACAATTGTCTAGATTATTTGGTATTTCATCACCGTCAATATCATTATCGCAAAGATCTCCTTTACCATCTCTGTCCGTATCTAATTGATCGGGGTTTGGTATTAATCGACAGTTGTCGTGAGAATCGGGAACGCCATCTCTGAAAGTGAAAGGAGTTATTTATAAATGCATAAATAAATTATTTGCCTTCAACAAAATACAAATATAATGTATGATATAAATTAAAATCCTTAATAATGATATATTTGCGTCTAATTGTATTTGATTGGTAAATAATATAGGTAATTAACTCTTTTCTTCTGCAATAATTTTAATAACAAACATTAATTTAAAGCTGTATTTATAAATGTTCAAAATTAAAAAGGAGACCACTTTTTAACATGGTAATATTTTTTACTTCACTACTATATGTTTATACAGTGTGTCTACTTAAGTTGGAACCATAGGGAAAACATTTTTATTATTGATTTTAGGGAAAAAAAGTTATTCTTGATAAAAAATCCTGCATGACCCAAAACCTAAAATATAGTCATCACATATCAAATTTTTCAAGCCGTATACGAGGTTTGTCAAAAATATGAATTTTGCTCAAGAGTAAAGTACGTTTAATTTTTGACAAAATCGAAAATTTTCATTAAGAAAAGTTGATTAGAATTGAAAATTACATTCAAATATGCATTACACCGATCTATCTGAAAAATCAGATATTCTTATTTTTTATAAACTCTACACTCTACACATTGATTGTAAATATCTGAAAACGTTATAAATTACGTTAGCTACTATAAACATGATACGCTTTCCTTTTGTTGATGTTTGTGAAGAATTTAGCAAATTTCTTAATGAAAATTTTCGATTTTGTAAAAAAAAATAAATGTACTTGAGCAAAATTCATATTTTTTGACAAACCTCGTATACGGCTTGAAAAATTCGATATCTGATGACTGTATTTTAAGTTTTGGGTCATTCAGGGCTTTTTATCAAGAATAACTTTTTTTCCTAAAATCAATAATAAAAATGTTTTCCATATGGTTTCCAACTTAAGTAGACACACTGTATTTATTTTTTTTTTTATCAAATACAGTGTCATGAAACGTCGTTTTTTAGACAGAAAACATAATTGAACTTAACATTAATTAAACATCTAAGAAGTTAGACTCCCTTCTTTATTTAAATAGGCTCAATGTAAACAAACAAGTCGCCAACTTTTATGACAAATGACAGGCGTGGGAAATTTAATACTTTTTTTTTTGAGAATTGGCATCTAAACGTAGTTTTTGTTGCCACAGACTTTTGTAAACCGAATAATTTTTTGTTTATTTATTTATATTTTAATATTTTCTTTAATTAAAAATTCAATAATTAAGTTATATATTTTCTCATTAAATGAACTTAATAAAATAGAAATACTTGATGGAAAAAAGGATATTCAGGGAAAAAAGTTTTTTAGAAAAATCTGAACGATGAGGAATTATGGTGGCTACAAGAAAAAATGAGATGGTTGATATCAGCAAAAGAAGAATTATCGCATTGACAGAAAGGTGATATATTAATACCAATTCTGGAAAGGTGAGACGGAAAACCCCATGATTTAGTTTCATCCTTGTTAAAGTGGTACAATAATACCCTAGACATTTTAAAATTTGTAATGTGGGGAATAGATTTTGGAAGAACAGGGTGAATAAATGTATATGGGTTATTTGAATGAGAAACAAAGTGTTCCCAAAGTTTCTCCCCAGCTTGATCTAATATTTCGTTTCATTGCATGAATAATATCCTGCGGAGAATGAATATTACTAATAGTTGGAAGAAGAATGGATTCTTTAGCAGCTAAATCGACTTTTTCATTTCCAACTATCCCCTTTATGACTTTTAACCCCAGATAAAAACGATCTTGATTTTAGAATTATGAAGAGTAAGGAGAGACTGAATAATTTCTCTTATAATAGGATTTTTGTTAATATTTACAGGAATAGTTAGAAATTGAAAGTAAACAGATTTCGAGTCTGAAAGAATAACCGATTTGTTTTCTCCATAGCTTTTTTATCCAATTGAGTGCTTGTAAAATTGCAAAAAGCCTCCGCTGTATAAACAGATGAATAATTTGGTAAATGAAATTGGGAAATAAAGTTTTCATTTTCCACATTAAAAGCGCATCCTGTACCTTGTTTTCCTTTAGACCCATCGCAAAAAATAGTATTAACTGTATCTAGTGTTCCCAATACCGATTTTATGATTATGTTATTAATTTTAGGGAAAGAAGTAAATTCAGGGAATAAGATTGTTGGCTTGAACAATAAGGAGAAAAAATTAAACTGGTATATAGGAAGAATATCGTAAGACTCAATTTTATTTAAAAACTCGTTTAAAGATACACAGGCTTCAGCCAAAGGTGGACTATTTTTAAATTTCCAATATTTGTTGGTTAAGTTTTCAATATTCAGGATAAAGGAAGAATTCAGAATTTTTTCCGAAAACATTTTAAATGTAACTAACTTTTTGCATGCTAGAAAATGTCTTCGTAAATGAAGAGGAGGCTCTTGTGCTTCCGCAAGAACCGCTGGAGTAGGGGAAGATTTAAAAGCACCGAGACATATTTTGACTACTTTAACTTGCATACAATCTAATAACTTAAGGCTCGAGTTCGCAGCTGATCCATATAATATGCATCCATAGTCGATGATTGATCGGATGTAAGATCTATAAAACATTAACGACGTTGTTGTGTCTGCACCCCATTTAAATTTTGTGACACATTTAAGAATATTAATGCCTCTTTCACATTTGGATAAAGTATAATCAATATGTTTTTTCCATGTAAGCTTATTGTCTAAGACAATTCCTAAGTATTTGAAGGAAGAGATATTGAATTAAACTTAATGACTTCTCCTGTTATCAGCCTGTGACGGGTATAAACCATCACAGCTGATTTATTTGCAGCCAAAGAGAAACCATGATCAAATAACCAGCTTGTAAGGCAATATATGACATATTTAAGATCTACAACACAATCGTGATAAGACTTATATAAATACATAAATCATCCGCGTACTGAATACACTTAATCGGTTGATCAAAGATCTCATGCAAGCTTGCCGTGTAAATATTGAAAAGAAAGGGACTCAGAACGGATCCTTGAGGAATACCCTGGTTGACAATTCTAGGGCCATGCAGAAGGTTATAGTGATCTCTGATATATACTTTTCTGTTTCGAAATAACTCAATAATATTGGCAGAGGCGTTTGTATCAAAACCGTAATAGGCGAGTTTTGTTTGTAATATGTTCAAATCAACTGCGTCATATGCCCCTTTAAGATCTAAAAAAATACATGTTGTGTATTCATTTTTTGAGAATGAATACTGAATATCATTAACTAACTGAGTACAGGCGTCTAAAGTACCTTTAGACTTACGAAATCCGTACTAGGAACTAGGTAACAGAGAGTTATGTTCAAAATACCATTCTAAACGACGTTTAATAATTCTCTCAAAAGATTTAGCAAAACACGATAACAGAGAAATTGGACGGTAAGACGATGGATCGCTAGGATTTCTCATTGGTTTAATAATAAATATAATTACCACTTCTTTAAAAGATTCAGGAAGAAGTCCTTGTAACCACCATTGATTATAAATTTCAACTAAGACACTTTTGAATTGTCTGGTAAATTTCTAATCAAAGAATAAGAAAAGCTATCTTTTCCAGGAGCTGTGTTACAATTTAATACTTGTAATTTCGCTAGTCATCAATATAAAACAACAAAATATAATTAATATCACTTGGTTAGATATTGTTATACTGGACAAAGTATTGAATTTCACTTGATACTACCTTCCAATCTTCCTTTAAAAAAATATTATTTTGTGGATAACCTTTAACTTACGAAGAAGCGAACAAAATGATGTGTGAATCTAATTTAAGATGCACTTACTTATCAGTATCTATTGGGGAATCGCATACATCTCCCACGTTGTTTTCATTTTGATCTTCCTGACCGGGATTGTAAGCACTTGGACAGTTGTCGCAAACATCTCCAATTCCATCACCGTCTCTATCTAACTGATCGGTATTAGCAACTTTGGGACAGTTGTCACGATCATTCGGGATTCTATCATTGTCTATATCGTCATCACAAACATCTCCTTTACCATCTCCATCTACATCACTTTGATCTGGGTTTTTATCGTACGGACAGTTATCACAAGCGTCTCCGATTTTGTCATAGTCTGAATCTGTTTGGTCTGGATTGGGATAAAACATGCAGTTGTCCTAAAAATGCAAAATATCGGCATTTTTGGCTATATTGTAAACGTTCGACTTTCGTGGGTCATATTTTTAATGTATAAAGTCATTTGCAGCAGAAATACAAAAAACATGCTTAGAATAGTTCGGTCAACTCTTATCTTTTATTAAATGTTTGTCTAAAACGATAGACAATTACTTACATTATGAATTACATTGTCATTATCAGGATCGTCGTCACAAGCGTTTCCTATACCATCCTGGTCATTATCTTCCTGTCCAGAATTTGGCGTATAAAGACAATTATCCTAATTAACAAAAAAAAACATTAAATAAATGAATTTGAATTTCTTTTTATTTACCTTTTTGCAATACAAATCAGAACATGGTAAGTCAATATCTGGCCACCTATCAAGATCTGTATCTCTTGCGCAATATATTCCATTGCCTGCATATCCTGTATTACATCTGCAACCGTAACTTCCCCAGCCCAAAGCTTGACATTTGGCATTTCTGTCACATTGTTGACCACTTTGACAATAACCTTCTCCTTGATGACATCCAATTGATTGGTTACCGATAAATCCATATTCACAAGGCCCACAATGATATGAACCCTAAAAAATTATTTTAGAATCTAACAATTTGTATGCCCAAATGGTTAAACCTTCAAATTTTTCGTTTTTTTTTTACCTCAGTATTAATACATTCAGAATGGGGAACACAAGCCCTTCCTTCTGAACATTCATCGATATCTACACATCGTTGTCTTCTTCTTTGGGCTTCTTCTACTCCTACACCTGTAATATCCGAATCTCCTCGATATCCTGGAGGACAGGGCTCGCATCTGTATCCTGGCCGAAGATTGTGGCAAGTTACTCTGGGATCACAAGGTTGAACTAGATCGCACTGAAATTGAATAAAAATATCATAATAATGAAAATTTTAATATCACCAAAAAATAAATGTTCTTTTTATCCTCATTGAATTTATAAACAGAAATAAAATACTAAAAAAATCTGATATGTCCAACACATGACTTCCTATCTAGTTATATTTATCAAAAGTCAATTTGGTGAACCATTTTTATTAAGATTTAAGACAGATTATCCATCAACTCCTTATATTTATTGGCGACCGTAACAGGACAGTAAGATTCATTGTTCAATATTACACAAGAGTTTCACAAAAACGTGTGAGGCATTAGACCTAGCACTAGCAAATAAAATAAGATGGAAGAAGTTTTAGCTTTAATAAAAAATTTAGAAGATAAAAGTAATAGAATTTTTAGTATAGATAAAAGTATTCAGCAAGACCTTTTCCTAGAAAAGGCGACCAAATAAGATTTAAAAGAGGAATTTCTAGAAGCAGAAACAATGGTTTACCAAAAAGCGATTCATGAAAACCATCTTGTAGTATTAAAGTTTGAAAAAAAAATGTTGACACCTATGGAGACAGCAAACCAACTGGCACTGGATCAACAAAACCTGGAGAAAAAACTGATCCAAACACTAACCAACGCCAAAAAAGACTCAATTTCAAGAAAAGTTGAAGATTCCAGATCACGTTTACTTTGAAAATGCGAAGAAACCAAAGACTACCTGGTACAATGCCAAAAATTTAAAGAGGAAAGTAAATCAGAGACAGTAACAAAGTTAAATCTTGAGGACACTAATCAAGATACGAGATTGAAAAAACAAAAATGGAAATGTGACCAATTAAACACTCATTCAAAAAATATACAAGGAAATGGATTAAAATATAATCATCTCTAAAGATCAGTGGCTCATAAACACAGCAGAAAAGACATGGGGGAGTATGTGGGAATTACATAAGGAGATTATGGCTGTTGAAACAACTTTCCAAGACAGATATTTTATAGAAGGGATATTCACTAAAATGGAGGAAGATGTAGAGGAACTAATGAAGAAAATTGAAAAAAATTTCTAATAATTGGAATCCAAATCAATATGATAAAAGTAGACCGAACATCCAGTTACCAAAAATAAAACTACCGATGTTTGATGGGAACTATGACCAATGGTTTACATTTCATGACATTTTCCAAAGTCATTCATAAAAACCATCTTACAAAATTCATCTTTGAAATCTATACATTTAGAGATAAGATGAACTACTATAGAGTACAATACGACTTTGCTATTCAATCAAGAGATCAAGAAGAATAATCAAGCGTGAAATAAACAGGTAGGATGAAAGGCAGAAGAAAATTCACTTTACCAAAAATTGAATTAAGAAAATTTGACAAAAATGTCAGAAATTGGTTAGGATTTTGGGGACAGTTTTGGAAAATCGAAGAAGATGAAGAAATTGATTTGGATGACAAGTATCAGTATTTACTTCAAACGACAGAGAAGGGTTCATCAGCAAGAGAATTAGTTGAAGGTTTTCCGCCATCTGGGTCCAACTATCACAAGGCACTTGCCAAATGAAAGCAAGTTTCGCTAGGGACGTACTTTTAATTGAAGTCTACGTAAGGGACCTCCTAAATTTAGTACCTAAACAATAAAAGACAAGTATGACTTTAGCAGATTTATATATTAAATTAGAAACTCAACTAAAAGCATTAGAAAGTCTAGGGGTAACTAGTGAAAAATATGCTGCAATGTTACTTCCGTTAGTCGAGTCAGCATTGCAAGGAGACATTTTAAGAATTTGGGAGAGACATCGTAGTTTAAATAAATATTTACTCGTAGAAGATAATAATACTGTCAATAATTGTAATTTTTAGTCAATGTTATTAGATTTTTTGAGAAGCGAAGTGGAGTCAGAAGAAAGAACGAACCTGGCACAGAATACTTTTGGAGTTGAAGGAGTAGCAACAAAAGGTTCCAGTTCTACTTCCAGAAAGGAGAAACAGAAAAACAAGGTGGAACAGAGTGACAAGGATAAAACATATACAGCCGCAGATCTATATACAAGCAATTTTCAAACTAAAAAAAACCTATGAGTTGTTTATTTTGTAATTCGAATTCACATCTATGTCAAAATTGTTTGAAAGCGCAGAACATTTCTTTAGAAGATAGAAAATCAAAAGTTTTGTATTAAAAGACATGCTTCAGCTGTTTAAAAGTAAATCATACTAGTAAATTTTGTAAATCTTTCGTCGTATAGTTTGTTCCAGAAAACACCTTCCTATAATGTAGAGAACAAAGATACTCATCATGCCATAGTTTCTTCCGAACCTCGAGATGTTGAAAATACTTTAACAAGTAACATACAAAGTGGTACCTTTTTACAAACCGTTTTAGTAAGATTAATAAACAATGGAAAAGAGAAAGTAATACGCACACTGTTAGACTCTGGTTCACAAAGATCATATATTTTATCTAAATCCGCTAAAGAATTAGGTCTGATTAAAAATAGAGAGGAGGTAATACAAAATATTTTTGTATTAGTCTATGACCTACATATCCAAAATTTAGCAGTTTTAGATCAGGAAAAAATTTGCAATCATTCCTAGAATAAACAATCAAAATTACTTAGATTATTTAAAACGTAAGATTATTTTTATAAATGATACAGATATAAATAACTGTTCGCCAGAAATTGAATTATTACTAAAGGCAGACATTTTTGGAAAATTATTAACAGGGAAAATAGAAAGTTTAGAAGATGATCTTGTAGACTTACCTTGGGTGGACAATTATGGGTCAGAATTGTAACTGTACAAATACAATTTTTTTCGATCCATCCGAAGTAAAGGGTAAACATTGCATGGAGGAAGATACTTTAAAATGATTCAATGAACAAATAGTAATTAAGCAAGAAGGAAGATATGAAATTCATCTTCCATGGATTGAAGATAATGTGATGGTTTTAAGCAATAAAGATTTCGCGGTCTCTAGACTGCAATCTACCAGAAAAAAATTGATTGCAATTAATAAATTTAATGATTATGAAAGAGTTTTGGAGGAATGGGAAATATTAGGAATTATAGAAATAGTCCCAAGTAACACATGGGAAGATACCCACTATCTAGCTCATCATGCTGTACTGAAGGTATCCAGGAAAACAACGAAGATTCATCTAGTGTTGAATGACTGTTTACAGAAAGGACCTAATTTATTAGAACTCATTCCCTCACTAATATTAAAGTTTAGAATAAGTTTAATATGGGTTACAAATTAGTGTTATTCCTAAAGATAGAGACCATTTAAGATTTTTTTGGTGGGAAAACTATCCATTTGAAAAAAAAATATAGACACTGTAGGGTAGTTTTTGTTCTAAAATCAAGTTCTTTTTTGTTAGGTACAACAATTAATTACCATTCAATGAATCCTCCAAGTCATTGAAAGCAAACAGCAAGAAAATTACAAGAATCGGTTTACGTTGACAATTGTGTCATAGGTGTTAACACATTAGAAGAATTGGAAAAATTCATAAGAGAATCAAAATAATTAATGTCATTAGGAAAATGTAATCTCACGGAATGGAGGCATAGTTTAGATAGCATCGATAATAATTAGTCAGATGAATATTGTTCAGTATTAGGAATATTATAGAATGCTAAAAAGGATGTATGCGACACAAGTAAGGAATTGCCTGGGGATATTATCAAGAAAGTTGATAAATTGGATGAAACAAATTAACTTTCTTAAATTATGCATGATTCCTAGTCTTTTATTGTTAAATTCTATCTCGACAATTAATGCACTTACAATTCATGTTTTTCGTGATTCAAGAAAATTAGCCTTTGCTTCCTGTATATTTCTGAGAACCAAATTTAATGCTAATATCATTTTGCAATTGATTCAGGCAAAATTAAGATTGTCCCCAAAGAATATTACAATTCCAAGAATAGAGTTACTTAGCTGTCTTAGTGGGATTAGATTATGCCAGAGTATTAGGAAAGTAAGAGAATTTTCAAATTTGTCTGTATTTTACTGGAGCAATACTATGGTGAGTCTAACCTGGATAAAGACACGAGGTAATTGGAAAACATTTATATAGAATCGAGTTAATGAAATTAATGAATATTCAAACACTGAACAGTGGAGACACGTTCCTGGCAGCATGAATCCTGCTGATATTTTAACTAGGGGTTGTACTGTTAAAATCTTAATCGAGAATACCTGGTGGAATGGGCCAAATTAGTTATGGCTATGACAATGTTTGTAAGGGTGATTTGTAACTGATATAATTCCTCTTCCGAATTTGCTCCTGTGAGAATACCATCCACATATGTATGTGGGCCAATAAAGCTTTTTGAGCTGAAGCATGCTGAGGGTTCCTAAGAGCAATCTCTTTCAACACACTGCATGCAAGATCAGGTGCACTTTTTTGTCCAAACAAAACTGTAGATAGCTCAAGACAGGAAAAATCATCTGAGGGGGAGTCTCTCCAAAGGGCATTTTGTAAAAAGTGGTATCTTGGGTTAATATTAACTTGCCTATACATTTTTTTCTATGTCCGCAGTAAATACTAACTTAAGAATGTCAAACAGTTCTGGTTAAACTCGAGGACCTTTTAATGAAATATCATTAAGATAAAGCGAACTAGAGGATTTGCAAGAGAAATCAAATGCAATTCTAATTTTTGTAGTAAGAATTTGTTCTCGAACCACAGTTTAGGGCAACTACTGCTTTCTTTTCTGATGTTGGTGTGGTTTTTTTTAACATAATACTGCTGTCACAAAAATAATATATCGTTATCACAGTTACCAAAGCAATTCTTATAGATAGGTTGATTACTTTTTCTTGTAAGAAAGTGAATTTTTAACAGGCTGCATAAAGAGATTATTATATACCGAGAAGAAAAAGTTACTCAAGGAAAAAAAAAAGAAATAGCTACATATGTAAGTCTTGAAAAAGAAAGAATAACAAAAATTTTGAGCATTTTTTAAAATACAGTATGATTATAAAAATGGTAGCTTGGATGTACCGATTCTATTATAGTTCTTCAAAGAAAAAGATGAAGAGTGGAGAGTTACCGCACGATGAAGTTGAAGAAGATGAATACAACATAATAAAGATGATCCAACTCTGCCCAAAATCTTATCAGTTGACTGCAGGCAGGAATTAAGCTTAAGTTTAAAATTTGGTGTTTTTCTCTCTATCTGTTTATGAGTTATCGAGTATACACACATCATCACGAAAATAGTAAAAATCCGTCAAAAACTCGAGGTCGAAAAAAATCATGATTCCTATTGGATAAATTGTACATATAAATGTGTTTTTATGTTCACTTACCTCATCTATATCATGACAACTAGAACCGTTTCCTGTAGATCCTGCAGGACAACCAGCGCATTGATAATAGGGACTCTCCTCGGTTGGATAGCAAGAAGTGCCTGTAATTCATATTCAAACTAAAAAGTTATAGATGTATAGGATCGCTCAAAAGTACGGAACCTTTTAAGTTACTCAATAATAAACTTGTATTTTGTAATTCTGTAGTTTCAGCAATGATTGATAAGTTAAAAATATCAATAGAACATAACAATAAACAAATCTAAGTACAATATACGTAATACATTAAAAACAAGTTGAGGAATGATCATCAAAGTTTGAGCTTCGTATTAATTTATATTTTTCTTAATTTTAATTAATTATTTAAATAACACCCTGTACATAAAACTTACGTAGACAGTTGGTGGTATATGAGAAATTTTCTTGTTATTAATATTAGGGGAAAAGTTATTCTTCATAAAAGTCAAGTATGGTCTAAAACGTAAAATACAATCATCAGATATCAAGTCGTATACGAGGTTTGTTAAAAATCATATTTTTTGACAAACCTCGTATACGGCTTAAAAAGATTGATATGTGTTAGTTGCATTTTAAGGTTTAGATCATAAAGAACTTTTTATAAAGAATAATTTTTTTTCATAAAATAATAAAAAAAAATTCCATATAGATCCAACTGAGTGGGACTTATTTTATAAGCAAAAAAATAAAACTATAAATATTTTTTAAATATTTTATTTGACTATCATAATAACTTATTCGTTATGACAAAAATTAATTAAAAATATACTGAAGTGCTATTGTATATATTTTTTGTCGTTCAACATTTTTAGTATGATAATGATCTGTAAAAAAATATATTGCATTGAATACTAATTAAAATCAAAATGAACAATATCATAAGTACTTTTTAATGCTTAAATATTATCGTACTGAAAATAGGACAAATAATATTATATTTATAAAAATATTTCTTTTCGAACACCAAAACATTTAAAGAATTCAATAATTTAGTTATATCACAGTAAGCTTAAAACTATCACGAAATTTTATAAAAATTATTTTCAATTTTGTAACGAAATGAAACCAAATTGGTGTTTTCCGACGTTTTCTATTTAATACACAATTGTATTAAATTATTTAAAATATAAGCAATGAATTAATTGAGGACAATTAAAAAGATATCAATTTTATCATCTTGTCTAATTTTTGACTGCTGCCTACCTCTTTTTTAAATATTTTATTAAAATAATTTCCCGTACCATCAGATCGACAAGATTACGCCTGTTTGTAGAAAATAATATAATAGTGACCTTAACGAGCTGGCTTAAAAAAATATTTTATAATAAATATTCTTTGTGTTATTAGGTAAACAACTGCCTACGTTAAGGGGACCCCACGCGTTAATATTTACATTGCGGTCCTTATTTTCCATGACCATAATCATAGATACAAGGTTGCATTTGAAAAATAACAATACACCTCATGTCCTCATTTAATTATTGCAAAAGTAAAAGTAAATGTAACAATAATAGTTTTGTTTGTATTTTTGAAAGGATATAAGTTTTGTCATTCAAAAAAAAAGCCGAAATTATATTAAATTCATGAGAACGTATTTACAAAATATTGAAATAAAAAAATATAGTTTTCAAAACTACAAATTTATTAAAATTATTATTTCAAATACTTTTGAATACCTAAATGATCTTGTGATTTTAATATACGAGCTATAACAACTATATGTTCGGACGTTGTACGAATTGATAAATATATTTTTTCTACGACCACTTAGCAATGTAACACCTGTCCCATTATTTAGCCTTATGAAAAGTGCCCTATATCACACGCGTGTGGATATGAATCTACTTTCCACCAGTGTGTAAATATGAATGTAGTTTCCGCATAAACTGTCAAATCTTTAAAGTCAGGTACAAAAGGCTTGAGTCACAATTTTGAAAAATGTACATATAAAATAAGGTTTTAGCAAAAATCAAGCTCTATATGAATGATTTTGAAAAAATCTGAATAAAAATAGGGGTTAAGAAGGGTTGAAATTAAAAAAATAATTATAATTCAAAAACGAAAAGCGATATCAACATGAAAAGTTTAGTAAAAATCAAGCTCTATCAGAAGATGAAGCCTGTTGATTCTGAAAAAAATCTGAATAAATTGGGGGGTTATGGCGGGGTTAAAATATAAAAAAAACGAAAAATGATATCAACTTGAAATTTTTTGGCAAAATCAAGCTCTATAAAGGGGAGAATCACTTTAAGTTTGAAACAAACCTAATTAAAAATGGGAGATTTAAGGGGGGTAGAAATTAAAAAAAAATCATAAATCAAAAAGGAAAAGCGATATTAACATGAAATTTTTAGTAAAAATCGAGCTCTATAAAGAGATTTAGTCTATTGATTCTTAAATTTTTTTCAATAAGTTGGGGGGTTAAGGCAGGGGTAAAAATATAACAAAAATCCTAACTCCGAAACGAAAAATGGTATCAACTTGAAATGTTTAACAAATATCAAGCTCTATAAGGAGAAGAAGAAGCCCTTTGAGTTTCATAAAAAATTAATTTAAAATGGGGGATTTAACATGAATTTTTTAGTAAAAATCGAGCTATATAAGGAGATGACGTCTATTAATTCTGAAAGCAAATTCAATAATAATGGGGGGTTAAGGGAATTGATAAATTTAAAAAAATCCAAACTCAACAACGAACAATAATATTAACTTGAAATTTTTGGCAAAAATCAAGCTCTATAAGGGAACAAAGCCTGTTAATTTTGAAAAAAATTTATTAATAATGAAGGGGTTAAGAAGAGTTGAAATAAAAAAAAAATAATCATAAATCAAAAACGAAAAGCGATATCAATATGAAATTTTTATCAAAAATTAAACTCTATAAGGAGAAGAAGCCCTTTAAGTTACAAAAAATATATTGATTAAAAATCGGGAATTTGAGGGGGGGTTGAAATTAACAAAAAGATAAAAATAAAGCTGATGGGGAAAAATTCCAAGAGTTGAGTTCTAAATCGAAAGTTCGGGAGAGCCTTAAAGGTTATAATGTCCCTCAACACATTGAGAGAAAAGTGCTGTTTTCAGAAGCATTAACAGCATAAATTTCAAAAAATCTTGAAAATATTAAATCTGTAAAACGTCGAAAATCATTCGGAAAATAGTTTCTGGGGAAATAATGAAGAAATACCGATTTCTTGGAAGAATGAAAAACTCTAGGAAAAGACTTTTTAAGGACTGGAAGACAGCTATTCATGAGTTTTATCTAAGAGATGAATGCAGTCGAGTTGCTGCAGGTAAAGGTGACACTGTTACTTTCTCGTCAGTTAAGAAGCAAAAGAGATATTTGAATTTCTCCATGAAAGAATTACATCAAAATTTTATCAAGTCCCATAATATCAAAGTAAGTTATTCTCTGTTCTGCGCATGTCGTCCTTTCTGGGTTTTGATGCCTAAAACCAGCCTCAGAGAGACTTGTCTCTGTATAAAACATGAAAATTTTAGACTGCTGTTCACAAAAATTAAACTTTTGAAGTTCTTTAATTACAGTCAACCCGAGGACTTAATCAAAAGTTTATGTTGCGAAAATAAAATGGAAGAGTTGTTTATAAAAAAGATGCGACAACTGTAAGCAAAAAAAAGTTACTTGGAACGAAATTAATAATAAGGAATTTGCTGTTTATAAAAAATGGATACTAGTTAGTGAAGAAATAATTGTTAAAGGCATTAAGAAGACATGCAAAAAGTACATGAAGAAAGACATTATTTGTAACAGAGAAAAAATGATGGAAGCTCTTCAGCATGATCTTCCAAAGTATATGCAACACATTGCAAACATAAGACATCAATATCAGTTTATCGACACCTTAAAAGATTCATTAGAAAACAAGATGTTTTCGTGCCTACCCGTCATGATCACATTGGAATTTTTGCTCATTTTCAAATTTTATTTCAACAAATTTCAGAAAAGTTGATAACCATTAATAAGGTGCATTTTCTCAATGACGGGCCGACGACCCAATATCGGAACAAAAACATGTTTATATATGTGTAGATATATTGAAACCTTCAATCATGACTTGGAACTTTTCTGAAGCAGGACGTGGAAAGGGAGCTCTAGACGGTATTGGTGAAGTGATAAAACGTACTGCTGATCGATTAGTGGCTTTAGGAGAAGATATTCCTAATCTTACATGTCTAGTTGAGCAAATATCAAATCGTTGCTCTGGAATTCAGTTACAAGTTGTCACTGAAGACACTTTTCAAAAAATTGATAGCGAGTGCTCAGTTCCAAATGATCTCAAAGCTTTCAAAGGAACTTCCATTCATCAAATAACTTGGAATTTAAATAAATCTAATACCGTATTATTCATTGTACGAGCTCAGAAATCTGTTCTCACTACTACTTAGGTGAAATGGTTGTGCTTATCAGATCCGAAAGAATCAGATACAGCGAAGTATATAGTTCCAGCTCTGATGAAGGTTCTTCTTTCACTGATGAAAAGCACGATTTTAAAAGTCCTACTAATGAGATTCAAGATGATAAAATAGTCTGGGAAACGCACGACTTTGTTGTCATAAAATATGGATCTTCCTTTTTTCCATGTCAAATAAGAGAAATTCGAGACTAAGGTGCAGTGATTAGTTGTATGGAAAAATATGGACGTCTGTGCACTTCTTGGAAATGGCCTGTATACGAAGACTGTCTGTGGTACAAATTTAGTGATATTGTTAAAAAGATTGATCCCCCTAACCTTAAAACTAGAAATATTTATTCAGTTAGTCCATGGCTGAATATATTGACTGAAAACTGACGATGATATTAGATGTGACCGAAATAAGGTCTAGATTATTAATTTAAGTTTTTTTAAAAGAATTTTTTATTTTGTTTTTGATACTTTTATAATAAAATATTTTTAAATAATCTTTTTTTGTATGCTGTCATCAACTCCGTGGACACCAAATCATTACCATGGTCTTGCAATTTTTATTTTTTTTTTTAAAGTGCTTTAAAAAAAGCGCACAATGTTTCGTTACATGTTTAGAGTAAAAAATGTTAATCCAATGTAATTCTAAGATGACAAGCGTCCTGCCGTTTTTCGCTTGCGAATTGTCCCCTTTTGGTGGAATCACCCATGTAGAATCGATAAATAATACTATTTCTATGTTCATTTCGTCTATATTAACAAATAATTATCAAACTATATGAAACTAATTTAATTACGAGTAATAAAACAAAAATTCTAAAACTGGCTGTGGAGGTGAGGACAGAGCTTCCGTTTTTTCACGCAAAAAGCCCGAAATCGAATCTGGGCTGGGGACTAATTAAATTAAATCTATTATTTTTGTTTTTTTCATGTTTATTTTATTTTATAAATTAGTAAAATTCATAAATTATTTTAAAATTAGTTATTTTGTGTGAATAATAGAGTGCCTTAAAAAAAACCTTCTTTTTGAACAAGAACACGTACCGCAAGCAGATAAAAATTTATTTTTTCATAAAATCGTAGTTTTCTCAAAATATATCTTAAAGTAGACGGATTTGAGAAAAAATCTAAAAATTTTGATTTTATGGAGTCAATAAGTTTATTATTGTGAATATCTTATCTTAATAAATATGAAAAAATCAATCGAGACCTTTTTTGTAGATAATTTTATTTCCTACAAAATTGCTTTCGTTTGATTTTTTCATAAAGTTCATATTTATAGAGATATTCTCAATAATATACTCATTAACTCCAAAAAATTTCAGATTTTTTCGTCTACTTTAAGAGATATTTTGTGTTCTTGTGTTCTTGTTGAAGAAAAAATTCCACCATATGTTTTCATCAACAGAAAGGTTTTTTAACCACTCTAGTGAATAATCTAAAATATTTTTTTAAATTTGTTGATTTTCGTCAAGTGGGTCTTAGAAAAAATATAATGTAGGTACAACTCGAGTGGTTTGTTCATATCTAATCTTGTTACACAAACTACTATTTTTAATATTTCGTACATCGACCGAACATATAGTCGTTAGGGTTCGTATTTTTATTTCAATTCTGTATTAGTTTTGACACAAAGGCAGTATTTAGGTACTTTTGATAATTAATGTTATTTAAAATGTGTGGTAGTTATGTTAGTACACTAGATATACTTATTATAAGTATATTTTATTTTTGTTATTATATACTTAATCGTGCAATGTGCAGTTAGTAAAAGAAAATAAATTGATTATGTTGGTATTCTGCATCCTCTTTTTGAGAAAATGAATCCGTTAATCTCTTCATTGACGCGGTCTGCTCCATACAGGCACACATCCTGTTTTAAAATAAAACAAACTATTAATTGCTAATTTTGGTTAATACTTCGTTTTACTGCATACCGGTTACAAATTAACATAGTTTACTTAGAATACGTTGCAGTATAGTCGACGTAATTTATACATTTTTATTCATTTGTTTTTATTTATTTTTATTCATTTTTATTCATTTTTATTCATTTTTATTCATTTTTATTCATTTTTATTCATTTTTATTCATTTTTATTCATTTTTTATTCATTTTTATTCATTTTTATTCATTTTTATTTACTTTTATTAATTTTAATTAATTTTTATTAATTTTTATTAATTTTTATTAATTTTTATTAATTTTTATTAATTTTTATTAATTTTTATTAATTTTTATTAATTTTTATTAATTTTTATTTATTTTTATTCATTTTTATTCTTTTTTTTTAATTTTTATTCATTTTTATTTATTTTTATTCATTTTTATTCATTTTTATTCATTTTTATTCATTTTTATTCATTTTTATTCACTTTTATTAATTTTTATTAATTTTTATTTAATTTTTAGTCATTTTTATTCTTTTTTTTTTTAATTTTTATTAATTTTTATTAATTTGTATTTATTTTCATTCATTTTTATTCATTTTTATACATTTTCATTAATTTTTATACATTTTTATTTATTTTTTATTCATTATTATTAATTTTTATTAATTTTTTATTTTTTTTTTTAAGTTTAGTTTATTTTCATGATACAAACATCTAAAAATCACAGAGCACGTTAATATTTATTTATGCAACAATTATAATTTTCAAGTTCCAACGTTCAAAAAAATTTATACTTCTATACAAATTTTCACTCCCGTTTTCCCCCCTTAAAATGTGAAAATCCAAAAACCATGACACATAATTTTTGATTTTTAATCAGTAGCTGTAATTCAAATATTTATGTTTTAAACTTTAAATAACAAAAAATATAAACATAATATTAAACAAATTTTCACCCACCATTTTCCCCCTTGAAAAGTAAAAATCCAAAAACCCTAAAACACGTCATTATTTATTTATGCTCACTAGCTGTAATTCCAATGTTCATGTTTCTAACTTCAAAGAGAACAAAAAATCGATACTCTTCGTTTGCCCCCTCTTAAAATGTGAAAATTCAAAAACCCTTAAACACGTCATTATTTAAATAAAACTTGCTTAAAAATGCATTTTTTTATAAAATGCGTTATATAAGAAAGATCCTTCCATAGAAAAAAAATTATTGGGCTCAGCGCCATCTACATATTGACCTATTTAAAATCAACTTATATTTAAAACTGAAGCTTTCTTAGTGCTCTGTGAATTGGCTCTTACACAATTAAAATATCCTTATTTCTTACCAAAATATCCGGCCTGTGAGATTTTATTGGTACACCCTGTATAATTTAATTATTTCTATTTGCTATTACAATGGAATCCTTTCCTGTTTGTCATTTTTCTTTATTTTTCCTACAATTCCACGTTATTTTCTACATTCTAATTAAAATAATAGAGATATACCTATATGAAATGTACCTTCTAATAATAAATTAAAATCCTGAAAATTTTTGAAGGAAGCACTGTTTTTTTCATTATTTCCTAATGTATCCTTTTCATTTGAAATATTTTGTCTATATAGCAAACTTTCCTTCTTAGATTGTAAGTATCTTTCGCTAAACATTGGACTAATATTTATTCTTAAAATCTTTATTGTTAGAAAAGTAACAAAGTTGTCCACCTGATAATTTTTATTAAAGTATTTTTAGTTTTTTCAGTAACTATTTTGAAGTATTTAGAATTTGTTCTGCATGTGTTATTTAATTTTCATAACCAATTACCAGTAAAACGAAGCTTCCAATTCATATTATAGTATTTTGAACTAGAATACAGAAAACTAACAATATTATTATAGTCAATTTAAGCTTAAAGCATGACAGGATTAAAAACAATAAAGATTAGTTAAAAATTATTATATTTTAGGCTCTATCACGTAACAGTGCTAAACGAAATAGCGCGTATCAAAAGAGCGCCTGAACGAAAGACCGTTTTTTAAAATAGAGCCATTCAAAATAGCTTTAGAATTTTTTTTTACTAATTTACCTAACCTGTGCGACCTGGAGCCATTTAAATTTAACCGATCGGACAGGTTGGATAAATTAGTTAAGAGCACCTGTTTAGACTAGCGCTATTTTAATTTCGATACGCACTATTTTGAGTAAGGCGCTATTTCGATACAGACCATTCTGATTAGGTGCTCGAACAATAGCGCTATTTCGTTCGGCGCTATTTTGTGACAAAGCCTATATTTTATTTACATGCAGTTTAAGTAAATCAGGTTATACTTATGTGAAATTTATAATTTAATCGGAACTGCTACTTTGTAGTAGTAGCTCGATTAAGATGCAGTTAGTTTTCTGTTTGTACAAATGTAAAAAAGTTAGCAGCAGCGATAATTTCAACAGTTATATTTTCGAAAGGAAAATGTAGAAATTTAAAATCTAAAAAAGGAATAAACTTTTAGATATCTAAGAGTAAAAATACCCATGAAAATTATCATTGCTAAGAGCCTGGCTACCAGGTCACAAATTACATTAGAGCAATAAAGAGGTTGATTTACTAGCCCGAGAAGGAGTCTCAAATCCTGTGTTTTTTGCCTAAACCCCTTCTATGGTGTCACAAAGACAACCATCAAAACATATACAAAGCAGTAGATATTAAACAAATTTCACGAATGGACAAAAATAGGCCAGATAATTCATAAAAGAACTCGCTAAAACTCATCGAGCATCTTCTAAGCCAGAAACCAAAGAGAAAAAATACTAGAGTACTAATAAGTCTATTAACAGAGCATTTTAGTCCTAACATTGGCCTGAAAGAAGAGACTTTATGTCAATTCTGTCAGAAAAAGCCAAAAACTGTATACACATATTGCTAATGGAAAGATCTATCAAAATTGAGATTCTGTACACTTGGAGAACAACTAAAGGTAATAAGCTGCACTGGAGAGTTACTTCCTTATGAGAGTTACTAATTTATGGAGTCTACTAGAAAATACCAAACTAGACAAAGTATTCTAACCAGTGATTAAAAGATATCTCACAATAGATTTAAAATGGTTAATGTGGGGGAGACAATATGGCCTGCAGTCCTAACCAAAATCCAAACGGGATTAGAACCCTTGATCCTTCAGTATACCGTACCAAGATCATAACCACTAGACCAACAGAACTTGTTTATTCAGCAACCTAATTAATTTGAAGAGTGCGACTAACCCGGATGTAAAGAAAACTCGTCTTTTACAAATTTAGGTTTCAAATGGACTGTATAACTTTTTATTGACATTAAAAAAAACTTACATAACAACTGTTATAAAAACAAAACAGAACTTTTCAATTAACATTATACGTTACACGACGCAGCGTGAAAAAGGGTAAAGCGTACATCACAGTATTTTTTAAGTAACAATGGCCGACTTGAGGTTCGGTCTTGTGCGCACTCTGGTATGAACATTCTCAACGACACAGGCATGAAACTACATCTCTGTGACGGGCGCCACAGATACTAATAGCTATTTTTATGAATTAATGAAAATATCAACACCGGATTTTAAATCTTTTTCAACTATTGGGTCGTGTTGGAAATAATTAACACATCTGTTTTTGATAACTATCGCTCTTTAATCTATGTTCTTGTGACACGGGTCATTTATGTCACTTGTAAAAAAAATGTCAAGTAGTTCAGTTGATTTGACTGTAAGATGTTCGTCACGTTTTTATAATTAAATTTTGCTAATAAAAGTTGTAATAATCTACGTATTTTATTACCCAGCTCTCTACGAGTTACAGAAAAATAATATCTCCAACTGGTGGTTGATCTTGATACGATATACCGAGGATCGTAGGTTCGAATGCATATATTTTTCAATTTTTCTTTTCTCTGTTTTGACCATTAGGTAGGGCTGCCATACCTCCCGATTTAGGCGGGAGCCTCCCGTTTTCACACACTCCCTCCCGCTTTTTAAACTAAGCTATAAACCTCCCGATTTTCAGAAATCTCCTAATTTATCCCGAATTTACATTGAATAGATATTAAAAAATTATTAATATGCTAACGATACTATCAAATTCTCGGTCATTCCGCCCATATCTACAAACGTCGTAATCTCTACAAAGCACCATCTTTTGGGGGCGATGGATTTGGAAACAAACCCTAAATTGAACGATTTCATAAAAATTTCTGATGAGTTTGCCATTGATGTATATTGACCTACTTTTAGAAGAATTTGTAAAGCTGTTATTATATTTGGAAAACCCACCATTAAAATTGACCAGCAACGGGTTTATTATTTTAAGAGGCATAGATCTCCAAATTTTTTCAAAATTTGCTCTTCTTCACTCAAATGCGATGAGTAAGAGCATTTTTAGTCTAATGTTTGTAGCCCCTGGAGGAAAGAAAGAAATTCTCTTTCTATAAAGACAGAATCTGAACTAATGATTAAATTTAATTATACCTACTAAAACTTGTCAAGAAAATTGTTTTAATTATCGGGCATTGAAATTTGATTGTTTTTTTTTTTTTTGATGCTGTAATAATCTTTGTATATTTAGTAGATTTTAATTAAAATAAATGTTTTTTTCTTCAAAAATTAAAACCTCCCGCTTTTCATTTCTGAAAATCTGGCAACCCTACCATTAGGTGTCCAGGAATGTATTCCTGAATTTCCTCTCTAGTTACAATGATAATACTTATACTTCTTTAAATGACATTTGGCAGATATAGATATCACTAACAAGACTCATAACTCTGGTCGACAATGTACCAACTAATGAGAATAAATAATTTAAAGAATGAAATAGAGTATATCGGTTTACGATGTTATCACAATTTAATATGTGCAAATGGTTAAGACAATTATAAGAAAAAGAGGTTTTTGTTCTGTTTGGTATAAGATGGTATGGTAAATGCTCTGTAATTCGTTAGGTCACAATTTATGTTGTGAATAAAGTAAGAAATTGGTGATTAAATAAACTGAAGACAATCAATTATGTCTGGCGAATATGACATAAATTTTTGAAGGACACTTTTCTTTAATACCTGTTTTTGCAAGAGACACAAACTTTTGTCAACTAACCTTTAATTATCTTGCACTGAGCCGACAAAGTACTGCTCTCTCTTTACATAATTTTATGGGAGTGATTATTTCTTCAAATTTTCAATATTTAATAATCATCCAAAATTCTCTGAATTACGTCTATACAAGGGTGGCTCCAGGGAGCATAGGAGCCATGCCACCCCCTCCCCTCCTCCGCGAGAAGAAAATTCTTACATTTATAAGCCTTTTATTCAAAAAAATATACTAAAAAGGGAATATCTAAAGCAACGGGACTTTTTGTTTTTTGTTTTATTTTGTTGTATTTTGTTGTTTTTTTTTGTTATTTTTTGTTGTTTTTTGTTATATTTTGTTTTTTTGTTGTTTTTGTTGTTTTTGTTGTATTTTGTTTTTATTTGTTTTTGTTATACTTTATTGTATTTTGTTTCTTGTTGTTTTTCGTTTTTGTTTTTGTTGTTTTTTGTTTTTTTGTTGTATTTCGTTTTTTTTTTGTTTTTTGTTGTATTTTGTTGTTTTTTGTTGTTTTTTTTTTTGTTGTATTTTGTTGTTTTTTGTTTTATTTTGTTGTATTTTGTTGTTATTTTTTGTTATATTTTGTTGTTTTTTGTTGTTTTTTTGTTGTTTTTGTTGTATTTTGTTGTTTTTGTTGTATTTTGTTGTTTTTGTTGTATTTTGTTTTTATTTGTTTTTGTTATATTTTATTGTATTTTGTTTCTTGTTGTTTTTCGTTTTTGTTTTTGTTGTTTTTTGTTTTTTTGTTGTATTTCGTTTTTTTGTTTTTTGTTGTTTTCTGTTGTTTTATGTTGTTTTTTTGTTGTTTTTTTTGTTGTTTTTTGTTGTATTTTGTTGTTTTATGTTGTTTTTTGTTGTTTTTTGTTTTATTTTGTTGTATTTTGTTGTTTTTTGTTGTTTTATGTTGTTTTTTGTTGTTTTTTTTTTTTGTTATTTTTTCTTATATTTTGTTGTTTTTTTGTTGTTTTTGTTGTATTTTGTTGTTTTTGTTGTATTTTGTTGTATTTTGTTTTTATTTGTTTTTGTTATATTTTATTGTATTTTGTTTCTTGTTGTTTTTCGTTTTTGTTTTTGTTGTTTTTTTGTTGTATTTCGTTTTTTTGTTTTTTGTTGTTTTTTTTTGTTTTTTGTTTTTTTTTTTGTAGTTTTTTGTAGTTTTTTGTTGTTTTTTGTTATTTTTTGTTGTTTTTTTGTTGTTTTTTGTTGCTTTTTGTTGTTTTTTTGTTGTTCTTTGTTGTTTTTTTTGTTTTTTTTTTGTTGTTTTTTGTTATTTTTTGTTGTTTTTTTGTTGTTTTTGTTGTTTTTTGTTTTTTTTTTATTTTTTAGAAGTCAGTGTAAGAGAAAGGAGTATACGATTTTGGTATATTGGTTTTTTGGTTGGAGGACTTTTTTTTAGAAAGCAGGAAGAAGGAGCATAATATGATTTTGGTATGAGGAAATTTTTTTTTTAGAGTTCAGTGGAAGGATGATATGATTTTGAGAATTTTACTGTAGGGGCTCCGCAAAGAAACGGGAGGGATCTAGTAAGAAGCTAGAGCAAGGAGGATTTTACTTGGAGGATTTTTTTTTAAGAAATGTTCTTAGGGCTCCGTCAAACATTTCGCGTTTCAAAAAAGTTCCGTCGCCAAAAAAGTTTGATTACCGATGATCTAAAGGCAATGTCCCACCTAAAATTCGTCTTGGAGCCGCCCTTACGTCTTTAACTAATTTATTTAAACAATGCCAAAATGCAAAATTACCACTGCCATTTTCTTATCTAAATGATAACGATAAACCAATTGTTCATAACACCTCAGCTTTTTGAAACCGAAATAAAACTAAATTTAGGTAAATTAAAACAATTTATTATTCATTTAGTTCAAACAATGTTAGTTATAAATTGTATAAACCTCAAATATAACTTCAAGTAAAAATCTTCAGCCATATTTACAAAAAGCGGGAGTATTATGCGGAAAAACTAGTATGGTAACGTACCTGGAGCGCAAGGATTGTATTGGCAAGGATTTATTCTTGTACACGTAATACCGTCGCCTTCGTATCCGGATGGACAACGACCACATTTGGCGCCTCTAGATGTATCTTCGCAACGAACTCCTGGATAGCAAGGGTTTTCATCGCATCTGCGACCAGGTGTACATTGGTATCCTGTAAAAATAATTAAAGTTCACTCATAACAAACTAAAATAATTTTACGACTAAAAGAAAAATCTGATGTGTCCAACACATGACTTTCCTATCTAGTTATTATAGGCATTTTCCGGTTATTTTGTACAACCTATTGCAGCATCTCTATAAATGTTTAGAGGATAAACTAAATATATACATTTTACACATACATCTACCTCGAAACATTTTTCTATAGATATTCATTGAAAACGAAAATACAGAAAAATTTAAATTTAGCACTTTTCCATTACGGACCATTTTAGAAAAATCATGTATAAACAAAAATTATAGAAATCGATATCGCAAACAACTTTTAGTTCAACAATTTTCATAAAAATCAGAATTTTGCACATTTTGTCAAATTTCTCGAATACGGACCATTTCAGGAAATTTTGACATAAAACAAAAATTATAGATAATAATATTAGAAGTAACTTTTATTTGAACAATTTTCTTCTCCAAACATAAATAACAGATATATTCCATAAAATATAAAAACGGCCTCCCATAAAGTACCCCCCCAGATGTTCCAACTTTGTCCAAAATCTAATCATTTCACGTCAGGCCGAAATAAACCTTAAGTTTAAAATTTAATGTTTTTTCCTTTATCCGTTTTTGAGTTTTCTTCAAATTTCGAAATTTACACATTTTCTCAAATATCTCGAATACGGTCCATTTTAGAGAAATTATGTATAGGACAAAAATTATAGAGAATTATATTATAAACAACTTTTATTTGAACAATTTTTATAAAAAATTATGTTTTTTACATTTTGTCAAATTTCTCGAATACGGACCATTTTAGGAAAATTTTGCATAAAACAAAAATTATAGATAATTATATTAGAAGTAACTTTTATTTGAAGAATTTTCTTCTCCAAACGTAAATAACAGATATATTCCATAAAATATAAAAATGACCACCTATAAAGTACCCCCCCAGATGTTCCGACACTGCCCAAAATCTAATCAGCTCATTGGACGCTGAAACAAAGCTTAAGTTTAAAATTTGGTGTTTTTCTGTGTATCGGTTCATGAGTTATGCGTTATACAGACACACACACAGACACACACACAGACACACAGACACACACACACACACAGACATCATCGCGAAAATAGTCAAAACGGATTCAGGGGACCTCAAAACGTAAAAATCCGTCGAAAACTCGAGGTCGAAAAAAATCATGATTCCTATACTTTCCTTATATCTGTATACAGATAGGAAAGTAAAAAGGGACAAGAACGTTAACTTAAGGTTACGGAAATCTAAACGCGGCCCCTCTATTTTACAATGAATTGGACAAGGTATAATAGGACCATGCGTGAAAAGGGTTGAAATATTGCAAAAATCAAGCTCTATAAGGGAAGAAAGACAATAGATTTTGAAAAAAAAAATGATTAAAAATGGGGGAGTTAAAGGGAGTTGAATTTAAAAAAAAATATCATAAATCAAAAACGATAACTTGAAATTTGCAGGAAAAATCAAGCTCTATGAGGAGATAAAATTTATTGATTCAATAAAAAATCTAAACAAAAATGGGGGATTGAAATATTAAAAAAATCCTAACTCAAAAGCGAAAAATTATATCAACTTGAAATTGCTAAAAACAAGCTTTATAAGGAAACGAAAACAATTGATTTTAAAAAATCTAATTTAAAATAGGGAAGTAAAGGGTGTTGAAATTAAAAAATATATACATAAATGAAAAACGAAAAATGGTATTAACTTGAAATTTTCAGGATAAAATCAAGCTTTAAGAGAAGACGCAGTTTATTAATTTATAAAAATCTGATTAAAAATTGGGAGTTGATATAAAAAAAATATCATAAATGAAAAACGATATTAATTTGAATTTTGCAGGAAAAACAAACTCTATAAGGGGATAAAATTTATTGATTCAAAAAAAAATCTAAACAAAAATGGGGGGTTAAGGTGGGTTGAAATATTAAAAAAATCCTAACTCAAAAACGAAAAGTGATATCAAGTTAAAAACAAGCTTTTTAAGGAAACGAAGACTATTAATTTTGAAAAAATCTAATTTAAAATAGAGAAGTAAAGGAGTGTTGAAATTAAAAAATATATATAAATAAGAAACGAAAAATGATATTAACTTGAAATATTCAAGAAAAATCAAACTTTAAGAGAAGACGAAGTCTATTGATTTTTAAAAAATCTGATTAAAAATGAGTAGTTAAGGGGATGTAAAAAATCATAAATCAAAAACGAAAAACGATATCAACTTGAAATTTGCAGGAAAAATCAAGCTCTATAAAGGGATAAAATTTATTGGTTCTAAAAAAAATCTAAACAAAAAGGGGGGTTAAGGGGGATTGTAATATTAAAAAAAAATTTAACTCAAAAACGAAAAATGATATCAACTTAAAATTTTTTCAAAAAACAAATTTTATAAGGATACAAAACCTGTTAATTTTAAAAAGAATCTTAATAAAAATAAGGCGGTTAAAAGGGGTTAAAATTAAAAAATCAGGAATCAAAAATGAAAAGTGATGTCAATATGAATGTTTTTAATAAAAAATCAAGCTTTATAAGTAAATGAGGCCTATTGATTCTGAGAAAAATCTGAATTAAAATGGCAGGGTTAAAAGAATTGACATATTAAAAAAAAAATCAGAAACAAAATAGTTATTAATTTACCAAGTGTGTAAAGTTACTCTTTTTTGACGAATGTGAATGTTGTCGCACTCGCTTACGGCTCGTGCGACAATCACATGAGTCAAAAAAGGAGCTTTACACACGAATTGCATACAATATTTTTTCCACTACCGTACACATTATCCACTAATATTAGAAATATAAAAGTTACTTTTTTTTCACTGGTGCGTTAAGTACTTTACTTTAGCATAAAAATGATAATATAAAATAAAACGTTATATTTTGTTGCTATGTACAATTTTTATCAAATTTTAATTTTTTTCACTAGTGCGTAAAGAGTTTTACTTTACGCACCCCGTAGAGTGCATGAAGTATGTACTTTACGCACAGTAGTAGAAAATAGTTATTTATGCAACAAGCCTACGGCTCGTAGGGCAACATTCACATTCGTCAAAAAAGAGTAACTTTACACAGTTGTTGCATACAATATTTTTCTACTACCGTACGCATTATCCACTAATATTAGAAATATACAAGTTACTTTTTTTCACTAGTGTGTAAAGAGTTTTACTTTACGAACAAGTGAAAAAAAAGTACAACTTTATGCCCGCGGAAGGGGGTATAAAGTATGTACTTTACGCACGGTAGTAAAAAAATAGTTATTTATGCAAAAAGTGTGTAAAGTTACTCTTTTTTGACAAATAAGTCAAAAAATTGACTTTACAAACGAGTTGCATACAATATTTTTTCTACTACCGTAAGCATTATCCACTAATATTAGAAATATAGAAGTTACTTTTTTTTCACTAGTGCGTAAAGAGTTTTACTTATTTGTCTTAGAAGGAGATAGCATAAAAATGGTAATAATAAAACGTTATATTTTGTTGCTATGTACAATTTTTGTCAAATTTTACTTTTTTGTCACTAGTGCGTAAAAAGTTTTACTTTACGCACTAATGAAAAAAAAGTCCAACTCCATGGAATACGTAAAGTATGTACTTTACGTACGGAAGTAGAAAATAGTTATTTATGCAACAGGTGTATAAAGTTACTTTTTTTTGACGAATGTCAATGTTGTCGCACGAGCCGTACGCGAGTAAGACAATCACATGAGTCAAAAAAAGGGACTTACACATGAGTTGCATACAATATTTTTTCTACTACCGTACGCATTATCCACTAATATTACAAATATAAAAGTTACTTTTTTTCACTAGTGCGTAAAGTACTTTACTTTAGCATAAAAATGGTAATATAAAATAAAACGTTACATTTTGATACTATGTACAATTTTTGTCATAGTGCGTAAAGAGTTTTACTTTACGCACTAGTGAAAAAAAGTACAACTTTACGCACGGTAGTAGAAATTTTTTTTTTGTTTTTATTCCTTTAATTTCTTTGACGATTGCCCACGCACTTTTAGATTTATTGTCAGAACTTTTGAGCCTTTCTTAGTAATCAAATTTTTTATTATCTTGAAGTAGTCCATTATACTCTTTTTTTCTTTAATTTGTTTACTTCTCATGCCTAGTATCTCTATTTTTTATTATATATAAAACATTTGTTAATATCATTTGCATTTGAGTACTTGTTTATAGTATTCTTTATTTTATTTTTATTATTTTATCATGTAAATAAAATAAGTAAACAGACCGTGGTTTGGCATCAAATAAATAATGAATAACATATCGTCGCTGGAAAGGCAAAGAAACGTAAGTCGAAAAATATGAAATTTGACTTAAGACCACTACAATTCTGTTAAAGAGGATAACTACAATGTCCTAAGTGTAAGATGCCCAAGTTCTTTCCTAATAAAAATAAAAAACAAAAAACTTAAAAAAAAAACAATAAAAAACAATAAAAAAAACAATAAACAAAAAAACAATAAAAAACAAAAAAAAACAATAAAAAACAATAAAAAATAATATAAAAACAATAAAAAATAATTAAAAAACAATAAAAACAATAAAACAACAATAAAAACAATAAAAAAACAATAAAAAACAAAATAAGAAAAAAAACAACAAAAATAAAACAAAAAACACCAAATAAATGGTTTAAAACAATATAAAACAGAAGAATAAAAAAATTCTATGAAATATTAATAAAATCTTTGTATTCATATATTAATAGTATTAGGAAAAACAATTGTAAAATACTTCATATGAGTCTCTCATTCTAACTTAGAATGAATAAAATAGAAATACATAATAGGTTAATGGATTGTATCCACAGTCACAAAATCCAATCACACAAACATAGCTATAATGTCACAAAGTGGCGTATCTCTCCTCCTTGTAGTTAACGTGGTAAATAATAAGTGTACAATACACCAAAAATACCGTAAAATACCTAAAATGCAGCTACGCCTCGTTGTCTTTCCAGCGACGATATTCGCACCTTTGCTTCAAAAGTGACACAACTCAAATTTGACATATATTGAATTAATGCCTATTAATATCTTGCACATGATTAGTAAACCACCCTTCAATCAACAAAATTGTTTTAACTTGGCTTAGTACAGACTTGTCTCGACGATGCCTGTTACTATTGAGATTTTAATGTAAGATTGTTTACTAAATTTATTTATTTTATTTTAACTAGAAAGATGTTAATTTTGAGTTATGTCACTTTTAGTGCAAGAGTGCAATATGTATAATCCTATATATTTTTTAGTATACTCACCATCACCGATGGTACCTCTAGGACAAGACCCGCATCTAGGACCCTCAGCGGTGTCGTGACATCTAACACCTGGAGCACAATTTGGAGGATGAGTGGCACAACTAGGTCGCTGAATGGGTTGGGCTTTGCACAATTCGCACTGTTCAATAAGGCGACGAAGTTGATCGATAGCTTGAGCGCTGGCTTCGCATTTCCTTACTTCTAAATTGACGACTTTAATCAAAGAGTTCAAGGCGTCTAAAATGCCGGCTAAAACAAATAAGATTTTGATAGTATACAAAATTAGCTAGACTTACCTAGTAGAAAAGTCAACGCATAAATAAAGAAGAGATGTAGGTATTATGTAGTAAATCAAAACAAGGAAAAGAAAAGAAACCTAAAAAAGAAGTAATGAAAGAATAGGGGGTGGAAGTTAAGAGGTATTGTCATTAATACTCTACTTCTTCAACTTTCACCTTCTTTTCTATGTACAACCACTATTTTCTTGTTCCTTTTCCCCCCAATTTTCCTTTACTACGTACTACATCCTCTCACACCTTAATTTTCTACGTGGTTCAACAAATTTAATTTTGTAACACAGTAAATAATACAGTCTAGGTAATTTTGTAAAGTTTGTTCCAGGAACGACCACGAGAAATCAAAATATTTTAAAAACCGGCAGAAATTTGGATTAATTCAAATTAAAAAATGAAAAAATAACAGCATATATGTGCACCTTAACTAAAGAGAATGAATATTGAAGTCAAACTATTACAAATCTTCAAGATCAATTGGACTTAAAACGGCACAGTTAACAGAAATTTCCAATACATTAAAATCTGTTACAAATGACAAAGAAAAACTTGTTGGTGAATTAAATGAATGTCAGTTTGAAAATGAAAGATGTTTAGATAATAATGTTCAAATGCAATCAAGAATAGAAGACCTTATATCTGAAAAAGGATACCTATCAAAGAACCTTGAAGACATCAACCTAAAACTAAGTGAATCCCAAATGGAAAATGAAAGATGCTGGGCAGATAATGTTCAAATGCAATCAAAAATAAAAGACCTTATATCTAAAAAAGAATACCTATCAAAGAACCTACAAGAGATCAACCTAAAACTAAGTGAATCCTAAATGGAAAATGAAAGATGCTTGGCAGATAATGTTCAACTGCAATCAAGAATAAAAGACCTTATATCTGAAAAAGGATACATATCAAAGAACCTTGAAGAGATCAACCAAAAACTAAGTGAATTCCAAATGGAAAATGAAAGATGTTTGGCAGATAACGTTCAACTGAAATCAAGAGTAGTTAACCTTATTTCTGAAAAAGAATATCTATTAAAAGAACCTTGAAGACATCAACCTAAAACTAAGTGAATCCCAAATGCAAAAAGAAAGACCTTTAGTAGATAATGTTATACAATCAAGAATAGAAGACCTTATATCTGAAAAAGGATACCTATCAAATAACATTCAAGAGATTAACCTAAAACTAATTGAATCCCAAACGGAAAATGAAAGATGTTTGGCAGATAATGCTCAAATGCAATCAAAAGTAGTAGACCTTATATCTAAAGAATAATATCTATTAAAGAACCTTGCAGATATCAACTCAAAACTAAGTGAATCCCAAATGGAAAATAAAAGATACTTGGCAGATAATATTAACATTATAATGTTCAAATGCGATAAAGAATAAAAGACCTTATATCTGAAAAAGAATGCCTATCAAAGAACCTTCAAAAGATCAATCTAAAACTAAGTAAATTCCAAATGGAAATTGATTATGATGTTATTCTCTATAGTTTTTCTCCTACACACTACTAGTTTTTTACATCATGTTTACGTATTACAAATAGAAATTCAAAATCTCTTTTTTTTTCAGTTCCACGAAAGAAAATAATCAAGAGTAGTAGACCTTATATGAAAACTAATATCTATCAAAGAACCTTGAATACATCAACCCAAAACTAAGTGAATCCCAAATGGAAAATGAAAGATGCTGAGCAGATAAAGTTCAAATGCAATCAAAAATAAAAGACCTTATATCTGAAAAAGAATATCTATCAAAGAACCTACAAGAGATCAATCTAAAACTAAGTGAATCCCAAATGGAAAATGAAAGATGTTTGGTAGATAATGTTCAAAGGCAAGCAAGAATAGTAGACCTTATATCTAAAAAAAGAATACCTATCAAAGACCCTACAAGAGATCAACCTAAATATAAGTGGAACCCAAATGGAAAATGAAAGATGCTTGACAGATAATGTTCAAATGCAATCAAAAATAAAAGACCTTATATCTGAAAAAGAATACCTATCAAAGAACCTACAAGAGATCAACCTAAAACTAAGTGAATCCCAAATGGAAAATGAAAGATGCTTGGCAGATAATGTTCAAATGCAATCAAGAATAAAAGACCTTATATCTAAAAAAGAATACCTATCAAAGAACCTTCAAGAGATCAACCTAAAACTTAGTGAATCCCAAACGGAAAATGAAAGATGTTTGGCAGATAGGCACTAGATTGTGGGTTGAACATATTTTGGCCTTAGTAGCTATTCGAAGAAGACATATTGAACATATAATTCGTTTTAGAAAATAAAGGTAATTTATGAATGCAGAAACTTTTCTTAAAAGTAGATGTCTGAAAGGTTTAGATTTTATAACTTTCAAAAATTCAAGATACCATTTTCAAATTTTTTAATTATTTTTTATACTTTCACCTTTTTTTGTAAATGAAGTAAATAAATATATTATTAAGCACCCTATGTAAGATTTCCCAAAAGTCTATTCAGTACCTACTGCTGTAAAATTTAGTTAAAAAATTATAAATAATGTAATGTGAGCCATTTCATTATTCAGTCATGCTCTAATCCTCCAAGTCCTTCTCTGTCTTATTTGGCCTTTGAGGCTCAACTTGTCCGATTATCATACATAATTAAACCTCTTAAGACCAATATGTGACGACTATGGCGGAGGAGCTTTCGATTACTATTCGAAAAATAACAGAATAAATATAATAGTAGTGTTATAAAATAAATAGGTGTTTAAATAAATTATTAATAAATAAACTGTTGTTTAAAATAAACAAACATCACAAGAGGAATGCAATCTGTTTTTCTGAATCGTCTGATGTAGTTAAACTAAATTTAACTTATAAAATTTATCTTTAATTGACTTACAATCTTCCAATTTGGAAACTAAAGGAATATCACCACGGTATGGCTTTCCGTCTACACGGTAGGGATCTCCACCTCCTCGATACAGATCGTAGTCTGATTGTTGAGCTTGAATATTAGGATCATCGTTAAGGTTATTGTTTAAATCGTCGCTAAGATGACTGTCCCAAATTTTACTTTCGTTTAATTGGAACGAAAGCGGGCACTCGTTCCTACTTAAAACCATTCTCAAGTCTCTGTGGTGGCCGTCAATTTCAATTTGATATTTTCTTTCGTGGAACTGAAAAAAAAGATTTTGGATTTCTATTTGCAATACATAAACATGAGGTAAAAAAATAGTAGTGTGTAGGAGAAAAACTATAGAGAATAACATCATAATCAATTTTTATTTGAAAATTTTATTTTTAAATTCGTATTTTGCACTTTTTGTTAAATTTCATGAATAAGAACCATTTTAAGAAAATTATATAAAACTAAATTAGAGAAAATGACATCATAAGCAATTTTTATTTCAAGAATTTTCTTTTCCAAGCGTAAGTAACAGATATATTCGATAAATTAGAAAAATGGCCCCCTATGAAGTACCCCCCAGAAGTTCCGACTATGCCCAAAATCTAATCAAGTCATCGCATGATGGATTAAGGCTTAAGTTTAAAATTTATATTTTCCTGTTTATCCTTTCATGAAGTATTAAGTATACAAATACACCTCAATTGTAGACCCTTGACGTTTTAAAACGTAAAAATCCGTAAAAAACCTGAGGTCGAAAAAAAAATTATGAGTCCTATACATACTTTCCTTATCTGTAAACAGACAGGAAAGCAATAAGTAGACAAAAGTTTATCTACGACCCCATTTTAATCATTTCATGACTAGACTATTTTCTCCTATTTTAATTGTTAACAAACATTTCAGCACTTCTCGTATTATTGATTCTAGCAAATTAGGAATATCTGTTAAAAATAGGTGTAATTCACTAAATCACGCGCGTATGTGTACACCTGACCTAAATAGTTAAAAATAATATTTTTCTCTCATCAATGATAATTAGTTCATCACTAACTAGTTTCCAGAATAGTCTGGAACTTGAAAGATATGTAGCATATATTACAAAATAGATGCAGTTGTTCCTAAAATATTTTTTCGGATAAATATTTTTTTCATCACGTTTTTATATTATAAAAAAAAATAATGGAAGTAAAGATTGAATTATTATACTTACGACTTCTAATTTACGATCCTTGTGTGTATTGTACATTTCTTTTAGAGTCTTTGGAAGAGCTACCATACCGTAGGACGTACAATCCAAATATAAAGTTGCATGAGCTCCTGGTTGAGTTTGATTGATTTCCAATATAATTGATTTTATTGTCGTTTCTTCGTCCAGCGAGTCTACTACAAAGTGCTGAGACCTCTTACGACCATCTTCCAATGTTTCAACGATCACTAAAATATTCAAAAAAGAAAATATTCATTAGAATCAATATTCACTAGAATCAATAAGATTGTCAGAGTACATTAACAAATCTGGGGTGGAGTCCTCATTGTTGGGCATCAAAAAAGTAGAGGAGTATCCGCTTTAATAAGGTTTGTGTTATTGTGTTATGAATAAAAGTTTGAATCTGTTTTAATTTGCCTGGAGAGCGGTGGTCATTTCTATATATTTTTTTGTAAAATTTAAATAGGGAATAGCTGTCACGTGAAGATTGCTCGAGTTTCCTTAAATGATAAGGTTCGAGCTTCTAAACCAAAAACGGCAGTTAGAGAATATCTAGATATTTGTGTATTAGGAGCAAATTGTTTTTTGTCTTAACTGCGAAAGGACTTTCTCCTCGAATTACACACGATTTTTTCTACGATCACACCAAAATAAAATATGAATTCAATTAATTGTTGAGCACACTCTAAGCTAAGTGATAATGTTATTTAAAAAGAAGCAAAGCCGACATTAGCAAATCAGAATACCAATAACAAATACTATTCAACTAACCATAACACTAAAATCGAAAAATCCGCTAGATGAAGAACTGGAATATAGTGAAAAGCTGCATGGAGAAACACACCAAAAGTAAGAAGATTAACAACAGGAAAGAAAAAAAGAACTGATAGCAGAAAATAGAAAACTTAGAAAGAAATGGCAATAGAGCTGGCCACAGACTGAGAAGGCACAAAAAAGAATCCTTTAACAGATACCTAGTAGGTCTTACAGGAATTAAAGCAGGTGTCACACAGGGCAGTGTGCTAGGACCAGTTCTTTGCTTATTATACTATCCGTCAACAATGTATTAAAATGGCAACATTTACGGATAACACTGCAATATCGGCAATCGGCTAAACTAATACAGAGACTCCAGGAAACTTGCAACAGAATCAATAGATGGATAAAAAAGTGGTAAATAAAAATAAATTAAACTAAATTAGCGCATATTGATTTTACTCTTCGACAAAATGAACCAAAACAAATAAGAATAAACAATGAAGTTATTCCACATCACACAAATACCTTGGGATGAACCTAGATGTACGACTTAAATGAAAAGAACACATAGATATAAAAAGCGTAAGAAATGTTTTGGCTCCTAGGAAGAAAATCCAAGTTGTAAATGTATAACAAATTTTAAAACCAGCCTGGATTTATCCCAGATAGCATAGGACGTCTTAAGGACGTCCATTACATATCCATTTATCCAGGATCAATTCTGGACGTTTTAAGTATGTCCAGTTTAGTAAATCCTCAGGACGTCAAGAAATAGATATTCGTAGAATGTTAATTCTACGTGCTTTATTATATTTCTATGGATTCACATTCGCATTGTATTATTATTTGGTTATATTATATAAACAACAAATATAATGAGATAATATAAATAATTTATTAAAGATGACATTGTCCCAATATCCAATTGAATGAAGGCCAAATAGACAAAATACGAAGACGGTCAATGCAAGAAAGGGACATTGTTGACAAGTGACATGGACTTCCGATTCGGACATCGTCGTGGCAACATTGAAATGGCGGTCTCCGAATCGGGAGCCCAAAAATCCAAAAATAATCACTAAATATCGAATGTAAAAGTGACCATCCGACTTTAAATATAAAACTAAATTAAATAAAACATTCCGTGCCAAGAATACAGAATATTTAAACTAATTATTAAGTACAGTGGAAGAGTGAGGACAGAAGTCCGGCGCACGAGGGTGCAGCCTTTTCCCAAAAGAAGTTAATGAAATTTCGAAAAAGGTACTGTTCCTAATAATAGCTCACTTTTAAAATTATCCCAATTTTTAGATGAGTTAGGTATATTGCGAGTAGGTGGACGACTTAAGCATTCCAATTTTAAGTTCAACAAACAACATCCCAATGTTTTACCAAAACAGCACATACTTTCATTGCTCTTCGTGAGACGAGAACATATCAGACTTCTTCACGCTGGACCTCAGCAAACGCTCGCATCCTTACGAGAAAATGTCTGGCCACTTAATGGCAGAAATTTAATTAAAAAGGTAATACGGGATTGCTTCCAACTAAATTCTAAGCCTTTGATTCCCATGATGGGCGAACTTCCAGCGGAAAGACCTTTTCTTTTTACTGGTGTTGATTATGCTGGTCCCTTTAAACTAAAAGACCGCATTACACGAAATTATAAAATAACCATGTAAGTCGACGAAGGCGGTACGTTTAGAGCTGGTGGGAGATCTTACCACTAATTTGTTTTTGGTCGCCTTAAAACGTTTCATAGCTAGACGAGGGAGACCCTCTATACTTCATTCAGATAATGGCACTAATTTGGTAGGAGCCAGAAATTAACTTATTTTTTGAAGGTGTTTCTAAAAATATTTCTGAAAATCTATTGATTGAAGGCATAGAATGGAAATTTATACCTACTAATGCGCCTCACTTTGGAGGTATTTGGGAAAGTGGGGTCAAATCAGTAAAATACCATTTACGGCGTACAATAGGGTAAACTGTTCTAAATTATGAGCAATTTCTAACTGTTATTACTCAAATCGAATCTATCCTTAACTCTCGTCCTTTATATCCTCCCTCAAATGACCCTAATGATCTTTCACCATTAACCCCGGCACACTTTTTAATTGGGGAGTCATTAGTAGCAGTTCCAGAGCCGAGTATTCTTCACGTGCCTGATAATAGGCTCAAACAATTTCAACTCTGCCAAAAGATGGTTCAAGCTTTTTGGACCCAATGGTCCAAGGATTACATTTCTCAACTGCAAACCAGAAACAAGTGGGCCCAACCATCCCAAAACGTTCTCCATCCTGGAGTGATTGTGCTGGTGAAGGAAGATAATGTTCCTCCTTTAAAATGGAATATTGGCAAGGTCGTCGAAGTCTTTCCAGGCCAAGATGGTATTGTAAGAGTAGCATCTATAAGGACCATGAATGGCATTTACAGAAGACCTGCTTCCAAACTTTGCGTGCTGCCCAACCAGTCCATTTAAAGCCAGGAGGCTTTTAAGGGGGCCGATATGTTCAATCTCTTGAATGTAGGTATAGGATGCGGCAACACTCTACCGTACCGTACCAGAATAAGACGTGGCATCGCCGCCAGCCCGAATCTGAGAAGCGAGCAGGCACTTGACTTTAAAAGTACCTGCGACCCTTTTTTGTTGCGTTGAGGAACACTATTACTAAATCCCTAAAGCTAATCGTTTTTTTTTTTTTGTATTTAAATATTTACAACATACATATGGGTTATGTTGATAAATCTGATATGCTAAAAAAATGCTATGAGCTTAATCGCAAGTCAAAAAAATGAAGGCACCGTATTTTTTGACATTTCGTTGATTTGACAGTAGTCAATGCTTATCTTATTTATAAAGAAAATATTGATGGTACTGTCATGCCACTGAAGGAGTTCAAATTGTCAGTAGTAACAGGTTTGATCGGAGCTAACCTTAATGTGTCGGACACAAGAAGTCAAACTGCAGAAAATCCATTCAAAGAAATTCAATTCAATAGAAATAAGAACAGATAAAGCTGCTTATTTGCCAAAATATGGCACTAGCGTTTGATGTGCCAACTGTAGTACCAAGTTAGAACCTCATTGTACCAAATGGCACTGTTCCACTTGTACAGTTGGGCTATGCCTATCGGACAAACTGATCAAATATATAATTGCAAGTAGTTGCGCCAGTTGCGCCCTAGTGGTTAAACTGTTGAACCACCACTTTTTTCAAATGTTTGTAAAAAAATTAATAAAATATTGCATGAACGTGTTTTATTTTATGCAAAAGAATATAAAAAACAATAAAACATCGATTTTTTTCTGTCAAAATCAGATAGCCGTCGCGTCCTCTAAGGGTTAACGATGAACCCAATCCCACTAAAGTTGTTTGTTCACGGAGCACTTCCAAGAAAATGATCGCTTGTTTCTTTGGTTGTACTGGACACGTCGCAACCATTCCATTAGAGGATCGAAGAAACTGTTAATGTGGAATGGTATACAACAATTTGTTTGCCAACGGTCTTCGATGAAATAAGGGAAAAGAACGAAAAACATCGCATCACGACAATGCCAGCTCCCATAAAGCACGTCAAACATCTGAATTTTAAGGAGAAAAATATCGAATTAATGTCTCATTGCCCGTATTCACTCGATTTATCGCCTAATGTATTTTTCTTGTCCTTCACTGTCAAACAAAAGATGCGCGGACGATTTTCATCACCTCAAGAATCTGTTAAAGACCATGTTTCTACGATATCAGCTTCAGAATGGAAAAAATGTTTCCAGAATTGGTTTGAGTGTATGCAAAAATATATAGACCTTAATTAAAGGCGAATATTTTGAAAAGCAATAAAACACTTTATTTCGAACTTGTTTCTCTTTCACTTTTTGTAAAAACTTAAAAGGCAACCCCCGTATGTACCTACTCTAGAGTCTAGACTAGATGATTCAAGATGACTAAGATATATAGAAATAGAAACAAAAAAATCGGCATTGTTCTTTAAATAGAATTGCATCAAGTAAGAGAAAATAATAGGAAACGCAAACTACATCTCTATTTTAGAATTGACGGATGCAGTAATTGAATCCTCTAATTTATCAATTGTAAATTACATTTTATCTACCAGAAATAACAAAATAAGATTCATGTTTGATGCAAAACTACTAATCTCTTAAATATGTTTCTCTTTTTCTAAACATTTTCATCATTTTAGAGATGGTTTAAAAAAATAGGTATTTTTTATAAAAGACATTTTTTTAAATCGAATGCAATCGAATCTGATGAAATTTTTCTCCTAAAATTAGCCTCTATGTACGTAATTTTCAAAATTTATATTAATTACTTTTTTATTTAGATGCGTAATATATTTCTAAAGGTATGTGGAATTAGCTAAAAATGTACTACACATAAGCTTGCTTAAACATTTTATAAAAAATTAGATTGTTCTTCTAATAATTATTTTAATCGGTTCAATAACCGAAAACTAAAAGACGCATTTGGAAATGTGGAAATAAAAACCTAATTCCCCCTACAAAATTAAAATATCCATCCCCACAACCCCAGGGGAAAATTATTTGACTGCATATCATCAATAAACATCGTTGTTATTTTTATGTCTTCATTCTTTTTTTAAGGACATAATATAACAAAGTTACTAACATATAAATGACTTATGTATATCTACTCACCTTTTTTAACTTTTCTGTCAAGTAATAACGAAAATTTGTTATCGCTTTGAGGAAAATCAACAGCAAATAATGTTTCCAGCAATCCCCTAGACCGCTTACGAGGTTTAATGTGCCTTAATGATACAATAAAGGTGTGATCTTTGATTACAGTTTCTAATTCTTTGGTTTTTCCTGAAACAATAAAAAAAATCAAAATTTTAGTAAGAACAAATATCTACAGAAGAAGTTTTGTTAACATAAAATGATATAAGGTTATAAAATCACTTAATTTTTATATGTTATCAGGTACTAAGTGAGGTTCTTAAATAATAACTTCTAACATTATATTTAGGAAAATCTTTAGCTCCAGTTTACAGTGTCGCTTATTGAACATAGTCCAATACCCTGTGAAAATTACAGAAATTTAGCATTATAGGGAGCAGGAAACGAATAATATCAGAGTTGCTAGTTTATACGGCCCGATCACGTTGTAACCTGACCTATGACACTCCCTGGGCGGGAAATTGACGCGCAGCTTTTACTGCGCTGACGTTTTCGGAATATAATCTATCATTTGTCATAAATGAGTTTAAAAACTCGCTACCATGCGCAAGGAAACCATATTTGATACACAAATACAAACTTTTGTTTACATTCTATTGAAGTAGTTTTTTAATACATTCACAGCTTAAAAACGGAAAATTTGTTATTTTGATAGTGGATTTAGATCAAAAATACTCCAAATACACTTCAGTGTATGTTTTATCATTATTGTTACGTATTATTGCTCGTTTTATTGGAATAAATAGAGTACTAGAAGTAATTAAGCTAAAAAGGTGAATGGATGTAAATTGTAAGTATATAAGTGATACAAACTGATCTAGTGCTTTGTGCTTCCTTGTTTTTTTTTTGTTGGTGTCCCAGCCAAGCATTCCTAGCCTGCAATAGTAGCAAAAACATTAAAATTGTCTACATTCAACCCATTTATATGTACATGATTTATCAGCTAAAAGCAGAATACAATATATCTCTGCAAAATGTAAACAACGCTACAAGGAAAATTGATTGTATAAATTGAACAACTAAATCAAAATATATTATTTTTAAAGGACTTATATCAACTATTATGTTAATTATAAATATTATAACATTTGTAACATCATAATAGTTATGTATTAATAAACCTGTTGCTACTCCAAAAAATATATTGTTTATTGATTATCAAGTATCAAAAATATGTGTACCTATAGAAATTTGTTGAAATATGTTCTGTTGCTGTTAATCTTTTTAATAAGTTCTTATTATAGTTGTAAATAAAAATCAACACTTTTTAACCATGTATTTAACACTTACAAACATATGCCTATTTTTAAGTTGTAAGGATTCGTAGCCTCTTAATTTTTTACATTAGACACAAAACCTGTGATGTCACATTATATTATGAATATGAGGCAAAGGATCTGGGAGTTGCTTTTCAGTCTAATTTAAAGTTCATTAACCATTTCTTACACATAACTAAAAAAAGCAATAAAAGCTCTGGGTTTTTAAATCACAAATACAAAAAAACTAGGATTACCACTAAAATTAGATTATATAATGCCTTGGTAAGACCCATCTTGAGTATGTTTCACAAATATAGATGCCCTTGGAAGCCACATATATTGATCATATTGGAAAAGTACCAAAAATATTTTTACGGTACCTTTAAGTCATAAAAAATACTCGTACTCTTATAAGATGTCATACAGGGTGTTTCATTGGTAAATGGGCATATGTTAACTGCATATGGGGGTCACCTAGGTGGTTCCAAAAAACCCATACGTCATGGGTCTATCGCCCTTTATAACCGAGATACAGGGTGTTTTATCAATTTTGCCGATTTCTTTCTAGGCTCATAACTTTTGAAACACGCTGTATATTTTTTGATATTTGGTATACAAGTACACCTTAATTTGTCAAATCCAATGACGTATTAATAATAGGGAATATCCAGGTCCGGATTAACAAAAAATTACAAATTTTTGATAATATTTATTTTAATTTTATTTCATTTTTTTATCGAAACACTTAGATTTGACTCAAATTAATAAGTAAGAAAACTGTATGCGGAAATACCAAAACCACTTGGTGTAACTCAATTTTTTCTGCTCTTTTCGAATCTGTAAACAGATATTCAAAATTATGATATACAGGGTGTTGTTTTAGGTATCGAAGAATTTGTAAATTTTTTGTTAATCTGGACCTGGATTTTCCCTATTATTAATACGTCACTGGATTTGACAAATTAAGGTGTACTTGTATACCAAATATCAAAAAAATATACATCGTGTTTCAAAAGTTATAAGCCTAGAAAGAAATCGGCAAAATTGATAAAACATTCTGTATCTCGGTTATAAAGGGTGACAGACCCATGAAGTATGGGTTTTTTGAACCACCTAGGTGACCTCCATATGCCCATTTACCAATGAAACACCCTGTATAAAACTATGCTCGATAGCTTTAAGATTAAATATCTTTTACAAAGAAGAAAGCAACAGGCTGTAATATATTTTGTACTCTATTTTAAATAATGTCAGAGACAATCCAGCGAGACGTGTAACTCAATGTATTTTTTTTTGTTCGGTAAAAGTTATTTGGGCGATTGTAACCACAACCAGTCTATGATGGCGCCACTAGTAAATAGCGGGAAAATTAAAAATGCTTTAGGGCGGGAAATTCAAACATGGATTCAGAAATAAATAGTTTTTCTATACAAATTTACAGGAGAAACAAAAACTATTGTTTCACTGTATATTAAAAAATATTAAAGCTTCCAATAACATCAATTTTTTTATCATTTAAATAATCAATTTAATAAAGGAAGTTTTAATCAGTTTAATATAAGCAGTGAACATAGTTTTTATTACTCTTGTAAATTTCGCTAAAAAAAAACTTGAAAATTCTATTGATTATTAAATATTTAAACTTGGAAAAATAATACACCAAACTCTTTTTCTATAAATTATATTTTTGTAAGGTACAGAAAAACAAACTACAATTGCTTCCTTTAGAAAGTACCTCCTATCATTTTGTGACAAATTACAAAGAAAGTAACAGTTGTATATTCAAAATATATTTAAAAACTAATGTAACAAATATTTTATAAAGTATAGAGATACCTTTTTGCCAGACTATCATAAGTGCCATTTGAACAAATGTCGCTTACATTAGTCTGGCAAAAAGGTATGGATATGTTATGACTGTTTATTTTAATAGAAACCATGGAAACGAAACAAACACACATGTAAGTTGCCATGCCTTCTAAAAGGGAATGAAGGATGACATACTATCATCATTTAAACAGGACATTGCTGAAGGCTTACCCCTGTTATTTCGTTTGTTTGTGTATCTTGTGCGTGTGCATTCCTGTTGTGTCTGCAGTCATGTAAAAGTTTTCCTAGTCTCCTAATTTGGTTACTAGGTGGACCTTTTCCAATTAGTAGTCTAATCTATTCGATCTGTTCTGCAGCAGGAGGTACTTTTCAAACATAGCAAATAATAATAATAAACACTATTTAAAGATGAATACATTTTTGTAATTTTTTTGTCATTGCCCCTTACCTGTCTCTTACACCACCAGGGTATACCTATTTTCCACATTCCCTTTATTACAGATTACCTTACAATGTTTGAATGAATATAACATTTTACCCATGAAAAATCTAATTTCTCTTTTTCAATTTCATTTGAAACAATTGGTATATTACAATTTATTATCAAGGAAATCTTCTAATAAAGTTATAGCAAATCCTACTTAAACTACTGGTTGTTCTGCAGGATTAATTAAACTTTTCTTGAGGTTGATCTCTCTCTCTAAAATCCAAAACCGACCTGATGTCCCCAAATTTATTTTCCAATGCATCCTGATTTAAAATTCTGCCCTTTTGTGATTCAATTTTTTTTCTTCCTTTAGAGTGGCTATTAGAGGTAGGTGTATGTAAGAAATAGCCAATCTCTAATCATTTCAAAAGTCCTTTGCCAATACTACATGTGCAGATTTTTTACTCAGCATACATTTTACTTTTCTAATAGATAGGAACTTTGTGCTGCCATTAAAGCTGTCCAGACATTCATCTACCTACTTAATGAACACAAGTAGCTGTAACAATGGATCTCTGTTCCAATTCACCTAAAATAATTATAGTCATTGTGTAATATATTATTAAACACACACATTATACAGTGGTTTTCTTAATAAAAATTGGAAATTACTTACCTCTAGAAAGAAATGTGTACAAAAACGCGAGTTTGGTTCCAGAAATTGCTTCATGCAAAAAATAATATGCAAAAATAAACATTCCCCCCAAAGAAAATTAATTAAACAACAAAATCAGACTCAAAGAAATATACGGGGCCCAAATTAAATTAATTTTAATAAAATGCACATGTTCATAACAACATTCATAACATTGTCAGTTGTCAGTTTTAATCGATATTTTGACGTCAAAAAACCAGCAACACCAGCGCCCTCTGAAAATGGTGTTAGTTTTATTGGAGAGAGATAGACATATGTAAAGATCAATGTAAAAGAAAAAGAGGGTCATATATGTAATTTAAATGGACCACCGAACATATTTTCCTATTAAGTTACACGTCTCTGTTGTCTCTGATAATGTTAAGTACGAAGATTGTGATTTGATTGACTATATAAATTTTAATGGTAACAAAAAATTATTTAGATCCTTTTAAGAAAATAAGCAGAAAATGTTCTTGATTTGATCTATCAATTTTTATAAAACAAGCTTAGTACCATAAGTACCATAAATTACGTTGTTCCTGTGAATAATTAGGCATTCAGTAAGCGGTATCATGGCACTAAAATCCAATTGCTCCAATTCTAGAAAATTGATTAATCGAATTAAGCCATTCAGAAAACCATAATTATGACCTAATTTTTAAATAGAATATAATTCAAGAACCAAGACTAAAACTAATATCATTATTGTTCAAAAGTTCAAGCAGATAATATGAAAAGTATGAACATTTTAATCGGTGCAATAGAAAAAGTTTCCTAAGGTCCTAAAGTTCTTTTAAATGATAACGATTAAATTTTAATTTTTATGCTCACCCGACTTTATTGAAACAAACAAAATGTTTAAAATTTAATTGATAAAATTTAAAAAAAAAATTAGAGTGCGAACAACCTTTGCTATGTCTTTTTTTTAATCCTAATGATCCTTGTTTCAATACATAAAATAGAGTTTTTCTTTTCTAATTTTGAAAATTAATAGTTGCATACTATAAATACACTAAATAACAAAAACGTAAATTATAATAATTTCACTTTTATAAATCATCATATCCGTTCAAATTAATAGGTAACTGACGACATATTTATATTTTTCTTGGCAGCACCTCCAAGTATTTCCTGAAATTCATTTCTGAACGCAAGAGATATTAAGTGACTAATGGGTTCATAAGAATATATCACATTTTAAAAATAATTTTATTTTTTTGATAATGACTTAAATTGGGACAGATGATTCTCTAGGTGTGCATCTCTAATTTGATAATTTTCATGCCTTTATCATTTTGTACATTTTAGATAAATATTTTTACGGCAGAAATAAATAAAGGCGGCAATAGCATATGCATAGCAACTTTTTTTTCCTAAAATTAGTAATAAAAAAGCTTTCCTATGCCACCAACTGTCTACGTAAATTGGCGGCATATGAAAATCTTTTTTTGTTATTAATATTGGGAAAAAACTTATTCTTTATAAAAAGTCGAGCATGGTCTAAAACCTAAAATACAACCATCAGATATCAAATTTTATCAGTCGTATAAAGAATAAAGGTACTTTACCCTTGAGACAAACCTCGTATACCACTGAAAAAAATTGATATTTGATGACTGTATTCTAGGTTTTAGATTATGCAGAACATTTTATGAAGAATAACTTTTTTTCCTAAAATTAATAATAAAAAAGTTTTCCATATGATTCCAACCTAGGGGGACATACTGTATAACAACTATATAACAATAATATAACAACTATACAATGTATTTTCTTAGTTTAACTTCGAAAATACCTGTTAGGGTCGATGTTCACGAACGTTTTTTAGCAGTCGCGTTAACGTCACGTTGACGCAAACGCCATTTTTAATTGACACGCAGTGCTTCTTGTCTTCTGTTCCAAAACAAGGCAGAGTAAATTCGTCTAAAGAACAGAAAAGATGGATGTAAGTTTGAAAAAAGAAGTGATATTTGTACCTTGTTTACAGTTTGTGAGGAAGAAGAGGAAATACTGGGTATATCCTTACTTAAGTTCCCCTTTACTAAAGATTAAAGGATGCTTTCATATTAAGCTTTTTGACTCAAGAAATAATGATGAATATATTTTTTTTACTTATGTTCGTATGATGAACTAAATTTATTGCTTAAATAAAACAAGATCATTTAGGAATGTTCCTTTATTTCTTTTAGAATAATTTTGTGTCGAATTGCTCAGGTTTCTACGTTTTTCTACCACCTTTCGTGTGTAATTCTTGATACAAACTAATATATCTTTGCAACGCCAATGTACCGCTGAGATGTGGCGTCGAGAAGGTACCCTCTGACATGATTGAATGTATTTCGACGCCACCGACCGTTGCGTCGATGCAACTGCAACAAACGGCCCTTAAAAATGCGGATGATACTCGGGATGTTATTTCATCTTGTAAATCTGAACCATTTATCACGATATCTGCATTAAATATGTTAAAATATTCGATAGGCATTTCTTACTAAAGGTACGTTAAGAAATATTTTATTAAACTCGGATTGCATGATGCGTCATTTATAAAAGTATTTCAAATACCTATGTTGTTGAAATATAAAAATATTTGGTCCATCTACATTGGCCTGGTGTAACTACCCCTTTTCCAGATGAAATTTTGCATTAGTGGGTCAAGATCGAACTTTTCGTTAAACCTTAGGGACATTTATCTGACCGTGCAGGACAGGACGTATTTAAAAATGTATCTATAGATTTTGGGTTTTTGTTAGTTGTAAGAAATCCCATTTTCAAGGTCATGCTTACAATCGTTAAAATAATGATTAATATTATTTTATTCTCGGAATTAGTTTTATATTTATGCTCCACCTTCAGTTATAACTTTTATATCCGCACTTCTAATACCCCGCATGCATCTTTATATTGTACATTTTTCTTTTAGTTTTTATATATAAAAATTTTTAAAGATAAAATTGAATTAAATCGCCATTGTGCAAATTCTTGATTTTTGTCAATTTTTCAAGGTTCCGGACATTGTCCGAAGTTGCAAATTTACCAGATTGTTAAAAACAATAATATTTATAATTGCAACCAATTTTAAAAACTTTTGCATTTTTTTTGAAAAAATTAGATGTAAATAAAAAATTATTTTGATATATTTACAAAAAAAAATATATTTCCGTGCAAAATAAAAGGTTGCAAATTGGAATAGCTGTTCCAAAAACTTGTATGAGTTATGTCATCGGTTTGCAGCACTTTTGCAATTTTTTTTGTCTATGATATAAACAAAAAACAAACTTTCGTTCATTGACTTGATCAGACTTTTTAAATTCAATTCAATTTATTGCAATAGGCCAGGTTAACAAATTTTAAACAATGTAATAGCTATTTAAGGCAATTTAAGAAATTTTAATTGAATATTTTTAATTTCCCCATTTCATGATTCAAAAGGGATGATCGAATGGCCATTAAACAAAGTCTTTATAGTTGCAATAAAATATATGTAGAAAGGAAGTTTCTTTGGGTATTTTTGGATAGAATTCATTACTTCTTTTTTGAAACTATTAAAATTGGTTATTTCTTTTTTTTTTGACGAACATTAAAGATTTTTGGAAAGTGGAATAGTCATGAAATATTTAGTTACTTGTCAATTTTTATTTGGTTGATAACTTTTTTAATTATCAGAGAAAAAGTAAGAACTAATTATACATTTTTGAAAATAAAAATAAAAAATTTCCTGGCCTACGAAAAAGAAAAAATAGAAACTTTTTGAACAAAGTTTACTAACTTTACCGGACTTTTTAAATGAGTAGTTAATTTTTCCGCGCGTTCATATAAACTCGATAAATTGTTTAATTGACCTCTTACCTATATCCAGTAATACGGAATCCGCTAAAATAATAACACTGGTTATAACCAAAAGCGCCGTACCAGTCCCGCACCCCATGGTCTCGCACTCGGACTCGCACACTACTCACCGTTCCGTTACAGAGCACGAATATCGCTCTCCTCAACGAGTGTCAATCGAGTCGGCCTGTACGACCAAACCAACTGGACATCGACATTCACGGACTGATTCGATGAGATCTCTATTGGGACATGCACGACATATGTGGGCTATGTATGTGGACCTTTTCCTTATTTGTCAAGTAGGAACAATTTCTACCACCTTATTGTAATATCTATGAGGCATGCGGCACTTTTTTTGGTCATAACCCAAATTCAGAAGAAGGAACATTATGAAATAATAAAAAATGAATCCGCATTGAGTATAGTAAACACGTAATTCGGTCAGAATTGGCAGATATTATTTATTATCGATATACAGTAAACTTAAGAGTTATTGCTCCGTTCATGAGAATTAATTTGTCTGCATATTACTCCTATTATACCCCTACCTTCAAAATTCCAAGAACGGGTCGTCGAGCCACATTTCCCCTATCATAGGAAATGGATCGGCGATTTATTTAGTTATACCGATGAATTGAAGAATTGAACGTATTTAGTAAAATTTTGAGCCTAAAAGAGAAAGTTATTTGTGAATTTTCCAATAAATTTAAGAAAGGCAGTTTCTTATAGAAAAGAAAATAGTCTTAGCACTGTTAATAACACGTTTTGCTTTTAAAGAAAGAAATAGACAATGCAATTTTTCACGTTTTTGGTGATCATAAAAACTGCGATATTTATTTTTGTCAGAAGCATATAGATTAAACCAAAAACGAAATAACCAATTTCATATCTAAACCTGAATTTTTTACAAGACTTCTACAAATTATACATGCTTTGTCAGATCACTGCAGAAGTCTATTACATGATGTTGATAGTAATATTGTGGAACAATTTCATGCGATAGTCGCTAAGTTTGTAGAATCAATGTAGAATCAATTATTCTAGAGGGCGCTCTTACCAAAGTAGATGTTTTGCAGCAGTTGTATCATATAATTCAAAATCAGGGAATTCAGAAAAACTTTAAACCGTACTAACCAATCCATGTTAGTAACTGAATTGAAAAAAAAGGCGACAATTAGCAATAAAATCAAAATCTAAACGCAAATTAAAAAAAAGTTATTCTGCAAAAGCCAATAAAACTGATTTAGATTGTACCAAACAGGATTTAGATCAAGATATTTATGAAGTAAAAAAAATAGTTCAGTGTGATGTCACTTTGGTTCCACTGGCATTTAATTCTAACCAAATTTTTAACAAAAACATCAATAAATTTGACATATACTTTTTTACTGTTTTTATTTTATTTCAAAATATTGTTTACAGGTCATAAAAAATAGTTTAAAGGTATGTAATTGGTAACTAAACGATTGTATATTTGATACATGCTATCTACTTACTTTAGGAATATATTTATGCAGGTGAAAAAAACGATATAATTTAGGTAAAAAAAAACGAACAAAACGCACTCAAAAAATCTACTGTCACTTTAATTGTCAGTGGAACCATAATTACATCATCACTGAACCAGTGCATTCCCTTCATCTGACGTTGAGAGAAATGTAATTCAGGAACAAACTATGTCACAGGCGGATAACATGGTTTGGCTTGAAATTCGTAGAAAAATGATTAGGGCCTCATACTTTAAAGCACTTTGTACTAGACGAATTACTTCTTTATGTGAGCCTTTAGTCAAAAGGATTATTTACCAACCTCCAGTCTATGCTGCTCCTATTTCTCATGGCAAAAAGTATGAAAAAACGGTACTTTTGCAGCTTCAAGAGCAGGAAAATATAGTGATTAGAGATTGTGGAATTTTTGTTGACAAAAAATATCCATATTTAGGTACGTAACGATCATTTCACATTTTTACTCACATCTCAACTATCAACATATTGCAAATTAGTTCATTTTAAATCAAAATAATCATTTTTAAATTTGTAGGTGCTACTCCAGACGGCATTGTAGGAGATGAATTAGTGGTTGAAATAAAATGTCCATACGCTGCATATCAAATGCAGGTAGAAGAGGCCATTAAATTGAAAAAAAAAAATACCCTTTTGGATTTTTAATAAAGACCAATAATTTTGAGATTAATATCCACCATCAATGGTATTATCAAATACAAGGCCAATTACATATTACAGGACGAAAAGGATGTATTTTTGGTGTATGGACAGGTCCCAATTATCCACTTAAAGTGGAATATATAATAAAAAGAGACGATTTCTGGTGTAAAAATATGGAGAAGTTAAAAAAGTTTTATATAAACTGCATGTTTCCAGAATTGGTAGATCCAAGGCATAATCGGGGAATGTCAATAACCTGATTACATCTTAAAAACCATTCAAAAATTAAAAACAAAAATAATTACCTCCAAAAAGTCAAATAACATTAATAGTAAGATGTTTCTACAAAGCCGCTATTTATTCTAAAAGAATTTTCTTTAATATTTTTATTTGATATTTTAAAGTCATCAAAAACATCAGACGGGAAGAAATATAATTTGGCGATTAAGGGTCTCGACTTTCAACTGACATTATTAAATGAGATGTTATTATTGTTGGACAACCTAAAATTTTTTAATAACCTAGGCGAGGATGTAACTAAAAAAATGAAGTTTATAACAGGTTTTAAGATAACAGTTAGCTCCATTCTTCATTTATGGGATTTTCTTGAAACAAAAACCGTTAAGTTTCTTTTTACTGGACGTTTAAACCAAGATCCGTTAGAAAATTTGTTTGGTCTTATAAGACAGCAAAATAGTAATTATGCTAATCCAACAGCTATTCAATTTCAAAGAACCTTTAGAAAGTTGTTCTGTGTAAAGCTACTCAATTCAGGAACTCAAAACTGCGAGAATAACATGGATAATATGCTTCTGCGAGTATCTGATTTCATTAAAGAGGATACAAATTCATTCGTAGCTCATACAGATCCCCATACATCAAATTTGCCATAAGTTGATAGCAGTTATCAAAAAGAGTCCACGTTAGAAACGAATTTCGTACGGTATTTTACGGGTTACCTAATTAAAAAAATGTCTATCTATACATTCTTGTACAATCTGCGAGGAATATTCAAAAGCCTAATAAAATTTGGACGATACATCTTTATTTTGTTACTATAAAGCTTATAACAGCTCCAATTTAGATTTATTTGGTAACTTTAACATGCCACACAATGATTTTGTAAAATTTATCTCCTTTTTAGAGGTAATACACAAAAATGTAATAGATACGTTTCAAAGTATTTGTAGAAATTCAAGTTTTTCATATCCATGTGAAAAATTTCCACATAATTATTTAATAAAATTATTCGGTAGAGTAAGATTATTTTATATTCTTAAATGTATTAACCGAAATTTTAAACCTATAAAAGACAAAAAAGTTGTCATTTGGAAAGATTAGTAAATATTTTTTTATATATATAAATCGTTTACTTACTTATATTTGTAATGTATGAACTTAAAAAATAAATCAATGTCTACTCAATATTTTTTTTATTTTTCTGACTTTTTTTCGGTGCGCCTATGGAATACAAGTAATAACTAAAAGACAAGGGCATAGCTCGTCGGCATCAACTACAAAGTAATTAAATGAGAGATATCTTTCTGGTTATTATTTATTCTTGTGATATTACTTCGTAAATTATGCAATGGCAACTTATCAAATTTGTTGTCCTTTATAACATGTACTATTTGTATAAGAGAAAATATTTTAAATAATTGCATTGCAACCAATTATAAAAGTATGTAAATTATTTGCAAATGATTATTTCTAAATAAATACTAGTATAATTTATATTTTTGTATGAAAAATCTTGAATCTTAAACATTTATGAACTCTTTCAATTTTTTAACGTTTATCTAACGAGAAACTCATTTTAACATAACATGTCTTCACGTTTAATTCGATTCAATTTTTTTCTTTAAACACACCTTTCTACACTACAATAATAATAAACGTACAGACTAGATCCACTTTTCTCTTATAAACTACATCAAATGGGTTATATATTTGTTTACTTTTAAACAAAATATTATGATAATAAAGGCAATGAAAACTATTAACTGAGTAAACAAGACTTTTCCTTTCTCGAAGTCTTTAAATTAATCACAATTCAATACAGTTAGTCCAGTCGATAAGAGATCTTTAATGAATATTCCGGAATGTTTTTCACCAAGTAGACAGACAGTAGCGTAGCCAATGGGGGGAGGGGGTCAGAACCCCCCATAGAGGGTACTCGCGTCACTATTTCCGCTAAGGCATTGGCTATTTCGCTATTGGCTATTTCGCTATTGACTGTTTTTATTCACTTTCTTGATGGAACCCCCAATAGTTCTCAAAAAACCTCCCAGAAGACCACCAAAAATATTATCATTTGAAAATAATCATTCCAAGACTGAACATATTTCAATATTATCTGCTCTTTCGAATTTTCCTCCATGTAATCCAGACATATACCCAGACAACACACCAAATCCCAGAGATATCCACAGAATATATTTTGTGGATATCCAATATATCCACAGGATATCAGAAATATTCCGTGGAACTAATATAGATATCCAAATGTCCGTCTATATCCAGAATATAGAAGATATCCTATGGATATTCAGCAAAATATCTAATGAGTATCTCCAGACAATACAAGAAATCCCAGATATATCCATAGAATATATTTTGTGGATATCCAACCAAATGTCCGTCTATATCCCAGGATATAGAAATTCAGATAAATATTTTATAATTATTTTTAGTAGAGGTTCATAAGTAACCAATGGTTATTGAATAACGTCGAAAGAAAATAGAGGTAAAAAATATTCCCAAAAATCTGCCTTTGATTTTGCCTACTAAGGAGAAAATCATCCTTATTAGGAATCTTCAGCAATAAATGGAACTTCTCGACTTCAGTCAAAGAATACCTACCCAAGAAGCGACACTAAATGGGCGATTCGTGGACAAAAAATTGCCAAGTTTTCTCAGTGTTTTAGAGGTAGTTTAACGTCAAATATAGTTGTCAGTTCATGTAGTGTATGACGTTTGGTATATTATTCTTAGCGTTTTGAGAA